CAGCTGCCTCTGTGGAAAACAATGCAGTTTCCAGTTCAATGAAAAGCTCTCAATTTTCCACTTTATATTAAAACCAACTCAGTCATGCTACTAATTGAAAATGCATTACTGAAACCTTCTGGATTATTTACCACAAGGTCTACTTCATTCTCGTGACAATAACTTGATCTTTCTTTCGCTTTGGTTTGTTCAGCTGGGAGGGGATTCTCTTGTTTTCTGTGACATCTCCATGAGTACAATTATGGTTTGCCTTTAAAGCCCTAGTGCATCATTACCAGGACAGACTGGATTTTAGAAAGATATTCTGTGATTAGATAGATACTTGATCTATGGATCATATTATAAATAGAATAGATGTCAAAGTATTGAGTCATGATAAACACAAAACATGGAATTTCACACCCAAGAGATGCCGCATACAGGGACACCAATAGTTTCTAGAGCAGAAAGAACCCCTTAACCATCTGGAAGGTTTGAAATGCTAATTCCTTCTCAAAGCTCAGGTCACCAAAATTTCAGCTGAGCTCAGCATGGTAGGATTTCAGATTTTCCACTGTATTAACATCAGGACCATAAAGAAATAAAAATGAGTCACAGAAAAAAGGAAGTTGCTTCTCACCATGTTCTCCTTCTCTCTAGGAAAAGTCTTTCCTTGAAAAGCATGGACCAGCAAATTACACTGATATGAGGAAGTCTGGAAAGGCAGGCAAAGGGGCAACTATCAGGAAAGTGATGCTATGTACCCCTCAAAAAGTGGGAAATCTGGGATAGTATTTGAAAATGTTTTAAGCAGCAACAACGCTGGTTGAAGATAACAGCCTATCTGTTGCCCTGTGCTGATGCATCACAACCCTTCAGTTGAACTGTGTGAAGAAATGTTGGAAAATAAGTAAGAAAGCCAATGCAGCTTTAAAACTCCCCCAGAACAAAAAATGATTTTGCATGATTTGAGTGATTTGGAGTTTTTTTAGGCAGATGAGTTTGAAGCATCACAAATGTCCTGGTGGAACTCAGTGTAGTAGAAGACAGTATGGAATAGGTTGAAGTTTTAGTGCTATCTTTTTCCTTCCCATTTCAACCTTGACTTCAGTGTTTACATAATGCAGATGAAATCACTCTGATTTTATGTAACTTCTTATATAAATCAGATGTTGGAAAGAACACAAAATAAATACAAAAATGTCAAGATGAGCCATATTGAAATAAATGAGACTCTTTCCATAAACTTCAATGAGAATGGGCAAATGAGCAGCAGAACATGATGAATAATTTAAACCAGAACTTCTGGCAAAGTACGTATCCTCAGAACTGAGCCTGAGTGAGGCAAGGCCTCTGTCCAGAAAAACAAGCCCCAGAGTAGTTATTAATCCTGGTCAAATGGCAAGCCCAGGAACAACCAAGAACCTATCATGATCCCTGCACTGTCAATAGGGTCCAGCAGGAAAAACCACCTATACCCTATACCCTATACAGGTATTGGTAGGAAACACAGAGGCAGGAGGCACATCATCAGCATCTCCCCTCTGAGAACGTTCTGGAAACAAGAAATGTTGGGGCAACTTTTAGCAACTCAGCCCCTGCAGAAGCACTTGGCCTCTTGTAGCTGCTGGAAAGCAGAGCTGGTAATACAGGAAGATATTTCCAAGCTCCTTCTGGATGTCCAAAGTCTGATGGCTTAAAGCACAAAATCATACAATAAAAAAGAGCAAATTGTCCTGTTCAACACAGTAAACCATTATTTTCCCTTTCCATACAAGTGGTGCAAATCCCTGCAAGCTCTGGATGTCTGGATTTCAGCCTCCATGGTTCACAGTAAACAACAGAGAAAAAATCAGGGTCTGTTTAAAACTAAACACGCTGCCCTTTGTTTGAGAAAATGGCCACTACCAAGAATCTATATATAAAAGGTGTTTCTTGGATTAGGAACATGCTAGGTTTGGTTGGGATATACTTAATTAATTTCACAGTTGCTTGTATGAGGCTCTGGTTTGTATTTGTTCTGAATGCAGTGTCAATAACACAGGGATGTTTTTTTATTGCTGAGCAGTGTTTACACAAAGTCAAGAACTTCTCACCTCACCTTCCCAGTAAGGAGGCTGGGAGTGCACAAGTAGTAGGGAAGGGACATAGCCAGGACAGCTGACCCACCCAGACCAAAGAGAGATTCCCAGACCAAAAGATGTCATGCCCAGTATATAAAGCTGAGTGAAGAAAAAGGAAGTAGAGCGGGGTAGAATGTTTGGAGTGATGGTGTTTGTCTTTCCAAGTAACCACTACACATGAACGAAGCCCTGCTCTCCTAGGGATGGCCAAACACCTGTCAGTCCATGGAAAGTGATGAACAATTTACTCTTAACTGTTACTCTTCTGATTCTCTCTCCTATCTCATTGTGGAGTTAGCAGATATGTGGCACTTAGTTGCTGGCTTGGGTTGAATCACAACAGATTTTTAAAATTGAGCCAGGTAAGGGAAAAATCATTTAAAAAGAAAAATTAGAATCAGTTTTGGTTTTTCTCCAGAAACAGTTTACCTTTATGGCACAGAAAAGAATAAAGAAACTGTAATTTTTTAACAAATTAAAGGTTGAGTAGGAAAAAAATGTTAAAAAATAATACTCTGAGAAAAACACTGGGGAGTGTTATGTAAAGATATTTTATTCCTGCAGATCTCTCCTGTCTTGAAAAGGGAAGTAAGAAAAGCAGTTTTTGCTTATATTTGACGGTTATAACTGGACATTAGCAAAACACTGGTTAGGAAGTAATCAGCCCATGCAAACTGTTTTCATGGGCATTTCTTTCTTCACTGCATAAAAGTAGCAAGCATGGGTTTCCTTCTGCATGAATCTCATTCATCATAGCCCATTCTCCATAGAGCCCATAGCTCTACCACTTTTACTTCACTCCTTGGCAGCTTTCCCTACAAATATAGCAGAAGACAAATTACTACTGAAAACAACAAAAAAATATATACCAATATTCAACTGTGCGTTTTTGTTCCTGGGAAGTTCCTGCAAGAAATTGGCCTGCAGTAGCAGAGAGGTTCAAAATATGCTCTTAAAACTGCAGCTTTCCCCTTCACTTTCTTAGCTTTTCCTAGACAAATTGTTCGCTGAGGAAGGATTCATGCATATGGTGGTGCATCCCCCCTGCCTCCCACTAGGCCACATTATGATCAGAGAAATGCTTGATAGGCCTCTGGCTTGACAACACCTGGGCTGAGCTCCTCTGAGCTTATCAGAAGCACTGTTTGTTTCCAGGATTTAAGTGTCGTCAAGGAGTTCCCTGCTTTTTTAATGAACATCCTTGGAAACTTCTTTTTTTGCCTGAACAACAATCCAAGTGGAATAACATTTTTTGTTCTCACTCTTTAAAAGTGTGAGAACGAGAAGTATGGCCAAGATGAAAGGTTATTATGACTAAAGTCCAATCTCTTGAGACCTTGTAGGCAGCGGTCCAAGAGAGACTCATTGAGCTCTCTGGGGTGCAGCAGGCTGTGACCAGCAATCTCCCTCTGAGTTGGGACACCTCTTGGAGTTAGCAACTTTCACATTCGCTGTTTCTTGAAGGATCGCTCGCCAATGGATCCTGGGCTGACATTTCACTCCTTGAGACTCAATCCTTCACCCATTGAGAAGAATGCAAAATGTTCAAAGTGAGTATTTGACGGAACGCAAGGGAAATTTTTCACAGGTACTGTCAGAGACTGAAACAGTTAATGATTTTCACATTCTAGGACTGCCAAGCGACTTTTGCAGGCAGGGAAGAGGTAGCTGGACCCATTCCCCCCCACACCTACCCCTGCCAGTGCTGCTGAAGGGGTCGAGTCCTGAAAAAGCAGGAAGAGCCATGTTCACCACGCCCTTCACATGAACTCTGTGTGTCTAGTCTAGGCTGTTGGAGATGCTGGAGGTTCATGACACGGCCTATCAAAGCCCATCCCCCTGCCAATCCTGAGAGGCGGGAAAAATGCTTTTACTGTGCCCCTCACAGGAACTGCGCAGGCCCAGGAGATATTGGAGGCTCATGGCATGGCCTGGGACACTCTCCCTGGATATAATAACTCATAACTTCTTTGAGTGTGTGGGCTTCCCTTCCCCACCCACAGTGGACCATGAACACCACTTCAACTAACAGACATGGAAGGTGTTTCATTGCTGGACCCTGTGGGTAGTGACTATATACATTTTTCCACTCTCATCTTTTCTTTCCCTTACTCTCCCTTACCCTTATCCTATCATTTCCTTTCTCTCCCTTATGCATTTTCCCTAAAGGTTATCTTTATATTATATTGCTATAGACGACAGATATAGATGATAGCACCAAAAATGGCAACATACCTGTTTAACTTCGAAGCAAAACTGTTCTAAAATAAACTCTACATATATGTGTTTTCAAACACCTATTATTCAGTGTCATTTCACTCTAATCCACCTAAAGGGGTTTATTAATAAGAACCTGGGTTACCCCCCTTACTGGGGCAGGTCGCAACAGGTACATTGCATAGACTTTTATGTCTGTGTGCATGTGCTATATCAAATGTGCTAGGGATACTGCTTTCCTAAATTGTTGAGTACTTCAGATTTGTAAGTAAGCTACTGTCATAGTATAGTAAATCACAAAAGAATTCTCGTTAAATTAAATGTAGTTAAGTGTTGTTGGAAATTCTAATAGCATTTGGAACCTATGCAATCATACACACAGTTTAGCCAGCAGGAAAAGGCAACTGTATTGGGGATGGTGCTTGTTTCAGGGCAGCTATGTTCTGTAAGTTTTAAAGATAGTTAGGAAAAATACATAAATTAAAAGAATTTACCTAAAAATGCATTTTCATATGTGAAAAAAAGCTCTTTTAATACCAGTAGTATCTCCTGCTCTTTGGCTGATTGCTTCTCTGCTATTTTTTTTGTTGTTGTTGTGGCTGGTAGCTATTGGGCCCCAGCACTCAGAAAAAGCCTTTTCCCCCTTTAAGAGTCCAGTTAGAATGTCAATCCACAATCTCCAGTTTCCACATAATAAAGACTTTTATTTATATAAAAGCAATAAGATGCAGAACAACTTTACAACTCCTACAAAAGTGAAGTATAAGCAAAAACATCAATTATGACTTGTACTCATAACTTTACAAAAGCATTTATCAGTCACACTGACTGCATAACTGCAGTTATAACAATCTCTTGCAAATATATGAAGCCTACTACATACTGTAATATTTCACTTTGCCATCAGCATAAATCCATGTGGCTCATTACATTTTTCTACATATCTATATCTTCTAAAGCAACACTAAACTATGGATACCAACACAAAAGACAGATGTGTTAAAAATATTATCAACATATTTCAAAACTATTAGAAGACATATTATTAACTGTGTTACTCCGTGGCTCTTGTTGCTGTAACTATATCGCTATTTAAAAATTGAAAAGTTTTTAAACCTTAACAGTTGATTTACTGTATTGGATTGTGCTGTATTGGCTGCATTTGTAGAATCCAAACTACTGAGCCATCTGCACCACAACTGCTTTCCAGGCTTTGTCCTTGTCAAAATCCTTTAATGTATTATTGGAAACCTAAAAGTAAACAAATTTCAGACAAATGGAAACATGAAAAAATGCTTTGGTTTAAAACCTGGAGTTCAAGCAAATAAGTATCTGAGAGAAGCTAAGAGAATGAACATGTGAATAGTTACAGTCAGAGCTATTAAAATATTCTATACACTGTAAATGGTATAGTTTTGTATATTGTAGAGTTTACATTTAGGTATAAAATATAATAGTGTAAACTGTATAGCACTTGATACATTTGAGTCAAAAAAGCTTGGCCAAATTCCTATTTTAAACACATTACTTCTAACATTTTTTCAATGTTTTTGCTAAAATGTGACTGAAACCTGAATCTCTAATCCCAAAGTCAGAAGTGATTTATCTACATACATGCAAGTAAACTAAGGCCTTGTCTAAGAGAAGACTTCTGAGAAGCCAAAGGGACATACAACTTCTCATGTAACATCATTCACGTGTTTAGATATTAAAAGCTAAGCAAAAATGTGTTGCTTTTGTGGAAAAAGTGCTCCTTTTAGCATTTAACTCACAACCAATTTCTGAGTGACTCACAAACTAGGAATAATTTTATAAATAATCCCTGGAGGTGATCTCTTTAGCCATGACATGACTATGCTCCAAAATGTGACTTGCAGCAGTGGAAGTGCTGATGTGCTTCATCTTTTATAGAGAATGAAACTCTCAGGACACAGATCCAGAAAATAAGCATCCTACATCAAATGCCCTCATCAGCTTGAGGGGACATAAATGCACAGCTTCCACTTTCCATTACGAGCTACACACTGACTTGACTGATTTCAGTCCCTGCTCCCAGTGCTTTCTATCCAGTGTTGTTTCAGTGAAGATGCTCTTCCTAGAGCAGGGACTGAATCCAGCACACTCTAGCACTAGCCCATGCAGTGAGTTAGTCTCTCAGAATCTTTAAGGATACAGTGCTTGGCTCTGCACAGCAGAGGTGAGGAAAGTCTAAGGGCTACAGTGCTGTGGTAGGAGATGAATATAGTTAATGTACATAAACTGAAGAAAGCTGGAATCCTCCAATCCCTGAAATAGGGCTCTAGCCCTGAATGAATATATGGAAAGTAGTAACAGTCCCACCATGCTCTAAAAAAAATATGTGCCAAATCTGTATCTGAAAGGACAACTGGAACATGTGAGTGCAGGCAGGAAATGTCTGCCTATCTCAATTCTGATCTTTATCACCAGCTTTGGTGGTGTAGTTAAGACACGGAGATACCTGGAATTCCAGGCATGCTGCTGGGTTCACTGCTTCATATGTCCAGCACAGGTAGCCACTCACACATCTTAACCATTGTTGTTCCTATGCTCCACATTCTTAAATTTCCCATTCAAAGTTTAGAGAACTTAAGTGAACTAATTCAGCTTAGAAAAGTCACTGCCTTACAGCAGGCCTTGAAAAAGTACAACTATATCAAGTATTCTTATTCCGTAGCCCAAAACTTCTGCTTGCACTGGAAGAGTTAAATCCATTTCTTTCTTAGCAGATGCCTCTCTCCTCATGAGAACATAGTCATGCAAGGCCCATTATCTTTTCTGTGACTTGTTTCTGACATATGAATAGTGATAATGTATCTGCATCCTGTGGAGAGGGACTAACATTTTATTTGAGTACAATGATGAATCTCATCTCTAATTGTAATTGGGAGTCCACCCTACAAATAAGAACAAAAGGGAGATTTAACCTTACAACTGTTTTTATCATAGCAGGACTTGTCACAGATTGACAACTTGTCACAGGTATCATCTAACCAGCAAAATAATATCTCTTCATAACAAAATTCACAGTTTCACAGAGCAGTTTTTAATTGGGATCAGAATTAAGTACCACAAAACATTAGCGGAAAAAATCTTTTAAAATACATATTTTCAAATTTTATAATGAGTATAAATACATACCTCTGTTCTGTATTCCTGCTTTTTAATCTGTGCTGCTGTCCATGATGAATCTTGTAGTTTCATTTTTGTCTTGTAATTTACACATTGTATTACAGTTCCAATAGTAAGGCATGCCTGAATTAGCAGCATCAACATCAGAAGCAACAGGAGTACATCATAAGATTGCTGAAAATAGACATATTTTGAATTGAATAAATTGAATTGAATAAAATATTTTATAATATTCCCACCTCCCTAACCTTTAAGGTTCATATCTAGATTTTTCAACTCAAATTATTATTTAGCTTATTTCAGCATGAAGTTTCAACTAAAATTTTACTGTGTAAGTTTGCTGAAAGTAGAAGAGATTGATAATTTTTAAGAAAATGTTAATTTGCAAATGATGTTTTTCCTCTAGAAATTGAAGAGAACTTAGGAAACCATCCACTAAAATCTAGCACTTCACTGACAGTTCCAGCCCAAGCAATGTCACAGCTAAGTCTGGGCCTCACTCTGTGCTTTTCTGGCTCTGACCTTGCCCTGCTGACTTGAATTCCTGGATGACCTTGAATCTGCCTCACTACTGTGGACTTGTCTGGCAACCACTGAACCACTGGCTGACCCTGGTTACCATGGCTGGACCAGTCTTGCTTTTCTATTTCTCTGGGTACTGCAGGACTGCACTCCTTGCCAATGAGGTTACTGTCCTTTGCCACCTCTTGCTCCATTGTTCACCCTCCTGTGCAGAGCAGCCCCCTCTTGCTGTATCCAGACACAAAACAGACTAAGAATGTAAGAAGTGCTCTGCAGGGTCACATCAACTGCCTAAACAGTGCAGTTGTCTGTCTCCAACGTGTGTGGCAGGAAAAGCTACTTAGCGTAGGCAAGCTGTGGTCGCTCCCCTCAGGTCCAACAATACACCATGTTCCTGCAGTATCAGAACAGGATCACATACTCAAAAGCTGGGTTTCCAGTCCCTGAGGTATCAAATTAATAAATATTTTCAAGCTTTTCTTCTAAAAACACAAGACTACTTAACAACAAGTGGATACTAAGAGTAAAGACTCTTATTGACACCGGCCACATGCCCATAAATGGTTCTTTGAACATCATCAGGGATTGCTAAACACTTTGCTGGTACAGTCCTAGAAAGCTCTTCAGCAATGCAAGGGTAACACTTCATATTGAAATGTTTTGAATTTGTGAACTTTTTTCTTCTCTGTACCAATCTGGGCTTTGAATGAATCCAGATGTAAGCTTACAATCCCAACTGCTGGTAAACATCCTAAGAAACAGAAAAATTTATTCTTCAAATAAACCTAGAATCTTTAATTTAAATACTACACATTTATAAAAACCCCAAGAAGTCCAGCATATTGCATATTATTTTTACTGTCTTTAAAAAAAACAGGATATTATTCTAACCTATAATTCCATGGTGCCATTAGATGTAACATACTTTAAATTTTATCATATGTTAAATAAGAGCTTTTCAAAAATTTCTATAACATACTATTTAAACTTCATAATGCAGTACCTTGTCTTCATATACTCCCTAATTCATTCCTTGCTACAGTCTTGCTATTGCAATAGATACAGGTACATTTTTCAATTGCATAAAAACACATACTTTAACAGCAGGTGGATAATTTTTAAAGATGTCAACAACTTGCATGATACTGAAGGATAAGTATGCAGAAGCAGTGAACAACAATGGAGATGTAACACTGCTAATGGCAATCAGGACTTCAACCTAAAAAAATAAGATAATAAATTTTAAATTAGAATTAAAAACACTGGTTTGTGAGTTGCATTTCCTTGAAGCAAGCGTAACAGAAGGGTGTAAAAGTGCATAAGATTACACATGAGACAAATATTATGAGCCATCCACATTTCACGGAAATACAGAAGCAAGCTTTGAATACATTAAGCCTCCAGCCAAAACACTGTTGTTTTGTAACTCATTTTTCATTTAATACAGATGATGAAGTTTTTGTTCCACTAAAAAAGTGCCTTTCATATGCACATAGAGGAAATAATACCAGTATTGGTAGAGAGAGAGCCAGTATAGAGATATCATTTATTCTTCAATTTATATGAAATAATGAGAATTAGCAGCAGATATTGCAGACTTACAACCTAAAAAAACTTATGCAAATAAACTTGAGTACCTTCAGGCAAATTTATTGCCATACAATGGCAGCCTAGTTTCATTCAAGTATCAACCCTACAGGATTATATTCTAACTTCAGCTGTGGTCAAGCATCATTACTCACTTAAATACATTTGCATAACTATTACTTAAACATATATTTTATGGAGCCTTAACTACATATCTGGGACATTCAAGGAATAAATGCACTCCATTTAATGTTCTTAGTCCTTCTTGCTAGTCATGAAGATGAGGAGTTTGTTTAAAGTAAGTTCTAGGTCCAGTGCAGCCTGCACACTTAATCTTCTTCTTTCAGAAACCACAGTTCATAATGAGGGGAGAAGGGAACAGCTCAGAAGCCTGAAAGCACTTCTGGGCATACAATATGAGGCATGTCATTTTTCTATAGAGGAAAACAGTACAAAAAAACCCCCAAAACACAAACCTTTGAACTCTTTTCTAGAATGGGTGGAATTTAGCCCCCAAAGGACCTACCACAGTTCTTTTCAGGGATATCAGCTAACATTCCTGCTACATATTGCTGTCATAGTTCGTAGAAGCAGCTAAAAACAAGTGAGCAAACTCGAGTAGTGCCCACTATCACAAGCAGGCTTTCTCAGTATTATTTCACTCTAATGACAAAATCCAAAATTTTACACACTTACCAGACATTTACTTGGATATTCAGCAGCTACATGACTTGCAATAGCACTTGGAAAACACTAAACAAAATAGTATAACAAAATAAGTATTTACCTACTTGAAAATCACAAAAATTGCAACTGAGTTACAGTAATTCCCACCAGTCACAGTATTGGGGTTTTTTTTGTGAATTCTGAATGTTGAAAAATTTGTTTATGATCATTTTCACTTCATGATGAGGGATTTTACAGACACATTAACCATATATAAACCTAATGGTCACTGTCTTCTTTCTCAATCAGTTCATTCATGGCAAGTAGAGTGGCACAACATCCTTTATGAATCCACTGCTCCTGGGTACAGGTTGTTATTAGTGATACTAATCACTAGTGATTAGTCATTAGTGATACTAATACTAGTGATTACTAATCACAGACTCAGGCTTTTAAAACAGTTAAGACTGAAAAGTTAAACAGGAAGTTCAAGAATTCTACCATGCTGAAACTAAACTGAACTTTTTATTTTGCAGCCTGAAATATTCTAAAACCTATGACTTTTTTGACAAAACACTTCACTTCTAATACCCTTGTTTTATTACTCATTTCCATTTTACTTAATTGAGGACTGAAAATGCATCAGAACATTTTATAAGAACCAAAGTATTGCAAACCAAAATAGAACAAGAATATTGCATAAATATATTAAGTATATTGAAGTGCTAATTCATTTGCTAAGCAGTAATTGTCAATTAATATTATAAATCAGTATATATTAGTATTATAAATATTCCAGTAGGGAGGAGAAAAATTAAAAAAAAAAATTAAAGACATTGTTTTAAAACAGTACCTTCCATCTGCACTACTTACAGCAACTAAGATCCAAAAGAATGTTACTGAGAGATATGGACCTGAGACTAGAACATCCATATTCAAAGCAATTATTCCACCAAATACTGATGAAATTCCAATAATCACCTCAATTACCTAAAGCCAAGAAGAGCACACAAATTATTAACAGTGTTATTTGAATGCAAAATTTCCTATTCACATATAAAAAGGAACTCATTGAAAGAATAAAATGCATTTATGCTACTAGCTATGCAGAAAGTCAAGGTTTTTCACATCTAAAATATGGTAAAAGTGAAAAAAATAGCTGGTTTAAGTGAAAACAAGATCAGCTTCATTATATGTATTTATGCTTTCTTCATTAGCTCCACAGAACAACGGCTCATTTTACACTATTTATCCTAAAGTCATTAAGTAGTCTCCTTCCTATTATAAATGTCAGTTACTTACCTTGCAATATGCTAAAAGGAAACATTTTAAGATATATCTCTCATTTCTGTCTTTATTCTTTCAGCTCTTACCTATATTGATCTCTTCCTGGCTTTAAAGAACCTTAGCACTTAGAAAGATGAAATAAAGTGATTTAACAAAAGAAAGCAATGCTTTTCTTACTGAGTATGACTTCAGAACTCGAGCAGGAAAGTTGACATTGCTCAAAACAATGGCACTGTCATATGCAGTATTCTAGAGGGGAAGAAAAAAATCATGATCAAAAATATACAAAGCAATACATTTCTTTCTAACATCTTGTACAACGTGCTACAGATCCTAATGGTGGTATGCAACATCTGGTTGGCCCATAAGAGGTAACAGTGACACACCATGGTGTTTTCCAGTGTCAGACCACATCAATTACATTAGAAACAAATTAAGTAGTCCCAGATTAGCTGCTCCACAGTCACTGTTCAACAATGAAACATCATTGTTGATGTTGTCTCCCTTTTTGGCCTTCAAGAAACACACTTTCTTCCTGAGCCTTCAGATTTTACAGATGTGGATAGCAGTAACCAAAGGAGGACAGGACACTACATGACTTTATCAATCAATATTTCCACTGGAATACACCATGGCATAGAATGTTTGTTTGAGTATTACCTAATAGAAGCACTGTTGTAGAAAAATGAAGGTGGGATTTGAGAGAGCACTTGTGACTAAAGGAAATTTTATCTATAGCCCCAAATTCTGAAGCAAGATTCATTGTCCAGACAGCACTAAATTGGCATGTCAGAAATACTTTCTCCCCATCAGGCCTCAGAAAGGCAATGTTTGCATACATACAAATCACAGTTCACCAATGTTTCACTCATCATTAAGTTTTGTTTTACAAAACAGAAATAAAGCATCTGCCATGCCTGTTCATAAGATATTCAAAAAACCCTGTGCTGTATAATTTGCAACAGGTCATTTTGCAGAGGGCTCACTGCACTCTTAAAAGATAGAAGAGGCAATTATTGTTTAGTATGGTACTTTTATTTATTGTTCCAATCTAGTTCGAGCATGCAAAGTTATACACTGGCGTTGCCAGTAAATTAACAATGTATGTAATACAGGAAAAATGGAATATTTTTTAACATACACACACAATCTTTGAGGGTACCTACTTTCTTTCTTGTACAGCAGTCTTCAGTAGACCTAGCTGAAATGATCACGGTAGTTGCCATGAAGATTTCCAGCAGAATAAGTAGAATCAAGTTGAAATTTATCTGTCAGTAAAATCCCAGACACAAATGAGTTACATGTTCCACATTAAAAATAAGGAGTGGGTTGAGTCTAGCAGGATCCAGCAGGCTATTTTCTGTGACATTTAGACATATCTATTGATTAGATAACTTTGTTAATCATTTTCTTGGTTCCTGCAAGAACAACACTTGGTTGCCTACATAATATTGAGAATGCCTAACCTAAGACAGAAACATTTACTTCATTTATGGAAATATTATGCCTGAAGATTTTATCACTGTCTTCCAGAACAGAAGTTAATGACAAGGTAATGATTGCTGGGTACATCTGCATTTTGCAGGACCTTCCATATGAAACCAGAACACTGCAGCAAATGATGGAATATTCTTAGGGGAAGGAGGGTCACTGGCTGTCAATCCCTATGTTGGAATCCCAAATCGTGCAATACCATATTGGATTATGAACTAAAACACAGTCCAAAGAACTGGCCCAAGGATTCTAGTTCTGTGCCCTGCTTAGCGTTTAAAAAGCATTGATGAACACTCCTCATGGTTTCATAACTCTTGCAGGTCTAACAGACTACATCATTGTGCAAAAACATGAATGCCATTGCTCACATTCAAGAGACAAAGAAGTGAATGCAATACTTCTGTTCCTTTTTATTCCCATGAAAAGAGGTAGATACCTCCTCTACATGGACTGAATAATTCCCTAGAGGCACACAAGTTAGGCAGAGTGCATCTCCCTTTCTTGTCTTCAAAAGCACCATATTTTTCCACTGACAGCCCAAGAAAACATTTCGTAGTTCAGTCAGGCCACTGGAGCAAAATACCAAAAGTTTAGGGAGAACTGACTCCATCCAGAACCCATGCAATTAAAGCAAACCATTGTTCAGTGAGTTAGAACAGAATTATATTGTTCCCTCATGCCAGACCTGCTTTGTAAATGATCAAATCTCTGTTTTCTCTGACATGTATCTTGCACCACATGTTTTTTGAAAAAGATAGTAAGTGGGAGATTTGAGAGGCTTTTTTGGGCACTGAAATTCACCCTTTCTCAGGAATCTTAATTGGAACTATCTGCCTTGCTGTATATAACAGACTGTACAGTTGTACTGAAACCACAAACAGCAATAAATGTCATAGTGGAAAACTCCTAGAGAAAGTGCTACAATGAAGAATACAGGCATTATTTGGCAAAAGAAGAGGTGTCAAATGTGTGGCCCGCAGAACAATTTAATCCAGACTATAAATTCCCACGATTTAGATGTGTTTTGGCACAGTGCTGGTACTGATGTGAGTTGGCAAGGCCACACATCACACTTGGCAGTGCAGTGCCAAGTAGATATACAAGTCTGAGTCAGGAAGCACTGTAACTACATTGATGGATTATCTCACTTAGTTCTAGGTGTAAGAAGTAAATAACAGAAACTGAAAAAGTAACAGTAAATAAATTAGATTTTTATCTTTCCAGTATTTTTTTTGATATTACACGTCTAGAGTATCAGCTAGATTCTTCCACTCATAAAATCAGTTCAGTAGCCCTAGACTAAAGTAAAAATATCTCATCCCCAATTTCAGAGTTTCGTTAGTTTCCTTGGATTTATTTCTTAAAAAGAAGTACAGTTAAAGCTAGAAGTAAGTACATTTTTATACCATCTATAACAATGGAGAGATTCAATATTAGATTTCTAAAAACTAAAGAAAATTCCCTCTACAACCACCACTGTCCATAAAAATCTATCACCAGATGCAGAGAACCAAACTAGCTGTGTCCCTAAGCCTCTTCTGTGACTAAGGAACAATACAAGTGCAACTGAGTAGAAAGTAGTAGATTAGCACAACCTTAATGAAATTTGCTCTGAATTTGCACCAGGTATTAAAAATTGAACAGAGTGGCAGCTTGAATCTTTTACACATTCCATCCTTCATGTTCATAGCAAACTAACTACAGAACTGCACCCTCCTGGAGTGGCGTCACACAGGCACAGTCTAGGGCACGGCTTGTATCCTGCATTCCATTTATCTATCTAAGGTTATTTTGTGGAGATATATATCAATATGAGTAACACTAATGAGGAATTAAAAGGAGAGAGGGTGTTAAATGTAAATTGACTTAATTGGATAAACTTATCCTTTTTATGAGTCTTACTGCTTTTAAACTACTGGCAGCAATTCAAAGATCTGGTATTACTTTCTTGCGCAGTTTCCCATGGGAAGGGAAAATACATATGATTATGAAAGAACAGTAAGAGATGGTATTTACATCTTCTTTGTGTTACCACATGGGTAACAGAAAACAGCTGGCAGGGAAATGCCAAACAGTGAGCCTGTTTCACTGAAAGAGCATCTTTCAAAGAGGAGAGCAAGTCGGCACCATGAATTACTCTTAAGACTGAAAAGTTAAAAAAAAGCTTCAGACCCAGCTTTGTATACAGTTATTCTGACTTACTTTCTTCAGTAATCTACAACACAGTATGGACAAGCAATAGGCAAGCAAAAAGAATTAAAATCATATAACTAAGGATGTCTTACGAATATTATTGCAGGTAACTGCAAAGAGAAATGTAAAGTTACTGCTAGATGATGTCTCCTCACAGATCAAGTAGTAACACTGGGATATTGACAACAGTCATTACATGTGATCTCCAACCACCTCACACCTCCCACCTTTCTTTTAACAAAGCTAAATATAGCACAAGTAGTAATTGTTTTAGTTACTTACATTTATAGCTGATGGATTGAGGACAAGTTTGCATCCAAACCAAACTAAACACGTTGTTGTAACAGCAAATGTAGAGACAAACAGAATCTGAAAATTTGGTATCTGAAAAAAAGTTTCAGAATAGGTTTCTTTCTCATTTTAACCACAGGGGGGTTAAATGACAATAAAATCTCATACTTACCACATTAATTTTATTCCTTGCTATAGCAAAGCTCACAACTGCTGAAGGAATACACTGGGAAAATTAAAAGAGAAGACTAGTGGGATACTCTGCACAAAGAATTTTATATATATTTCTATAGATTTATTTTACGTGCTTGAATTCATATTTCAGTTCACTTAGACAAATTGCTCAGAAACTGAAGAAAATGTGTCACTCTTGTCTGAGCTCACTAATTACAATAAGTGTCTGATGACTACAGGAGGTTTAAATATACCTTCCATATATCTCAATTTTGACTAACTACCCAGCACAATAACATGAATAAAAGAAAGAAAGTCTTTCTTAAGGCAGTTTATGCCTTTGTTAGTTTAAATTAACTCTAGAAGGCCTGGGATCCTTGAGCAGGAAAAAAAAACCAGTGCTACTCTCAAACTGGGTCTGCACACTTTTTTAAACAGACATTGTCATAGTTGAGTAAGCCAAAATTTTCCCAATCTCAGCATAGTTCTGAAGAACTTTGTGAAAATCTGTTGGGTCTAGTTACACTTTAAGAATTGTGCCTGGAATCTCCACTATGTTTAGTAGGAACTATGTTTTCATACTTGAGGGCAAAGCTAAATGGCAAAATCATGTGTAAGTGAAAACTTTCACGAAGTAATTTCTCTACCCCTTAGCTGTTCATCATGACAATAGATATGGTTCCATTACAGATCCAACTCTATTTTACACAAATACATATTGAAATTATTAAAAGTGTTTCCACATCAAATAATGAACATGCAAAAAATTAATACTGACATGTAAAATTCTTGGAAGCACTTCTTTAATACCGAAATTACCTTTACTTAACAGAGTTAAAACATCCCTTTTTGTCCTGGATACCCAAGAGTCTCTAGAACTCTACAGGACTCTGTTTAAGCAACTGCATACTACTACTATTCAAACTGGTTAAAAAAGTCTAGAGAGCAATTCAGCTTCATGCTAAACTAAACACTTTGTGGCCAATTGGCTCTACAGCTCTCAAGGCTCTTCCAACTGCACTGACTCCATTATCTGCAGTAGGAGCTCTAACACCTTCCTGACATACAGACACCCCCATGTACACACCTTCACCCACAGCAAGCCTTTCAAACCCAATGTGATCTGCATCTACCAGATCTTTGGAAATTCTCAATAAATACAAAGCTCAAAGGGACAAGATTTGAGGCAGAAAAAGAGACTTCTCAGTAACTAACACTAACGTTGCAGAGAATAACACACCTGTGGGTATATTTACTTCAAAAACTGCTTCAACAGTATTTTAACACCTGTAGAGGAAACCTAAGCGACAGCTCATACACAGAGCAACTTTAGTCTGCTTCAATACTTGGATATTATGGCAAAATAAAATGAAAAATTAATACTTTGAAATACAATCTGAAATAAATTCTGATAGCTTTTAGCCAGGAAATTCCCCAAATACATAGCAATGCAAATTTTCTTAAAATCAAGCACAGAAAAACTGTTCAAGCAGAGTAATATTGCATGGCAGTGGTGTGCTGATTAACAAAAAATGGCAGCACAAATCAGTTGTCTTTATGACAACTGTTACTCTTTCAACTATGGGATGAAAATCCACTTAATGAAGTATTAAATAGAACTAAATCTTCCATGAAGAAAGTTAGTAGTAAAAAAAGACAGACAGCATAAAAGACATAAACCCACAAACGCTATGTACTATTGAGTCTGCTGTCAAACAGTCACAGCAAATAATTAAGAATGCTTACTGAACCTGCTGCACAACGTAAATAATCCATTTCAGATGGAAAAATATTTCCCAGATATAATGAAAATCCAGAAGTAATAAGGAGGCAAGTCTGAAAAGCAACAAATAAGATAAGTTTATATGAATAAAACCTTTTTAAAAGCAACTAGTCAGATAGAAATCAGTAATCCCTTTCAAATTAAGCTACTGATGGACATCTAATAATGCAGGTTTTGAGTGAATAAATTTGAAGAAAAACATCAAAACACTCTGAGTTCTGAAGAAGATGTTTTCCTGGCTACCAAGACCTAATATTGAACAATATAATCATGTTAGAATCAAGCATTGTGCCCTGACTTGGCAAATACCTCAATGAACTACTAAAAATGTAATTGCAGTGTTCAATGGTAAAAATGTTTCAGAAACCTCAGCTAAGTCTCTACTTTGTATTCTCTGCTTGACTCCACCAACATTTATTATGCACATGGGCAGCTGAGCAATTGTCAACTAGAACATAGCAACAAAATTAGTATTAGGATACATTAATGAAGATTCTTCCACCTATATTCCTGCATCCCTCCAAACCCTCTTCCTGTTTTCATCCAGCAGCACACCCATAAATGTTCAAATCCTCCTGTTCCCTTGATAACTCTTCTTTTTATTTCATAACTATGACAGCTACACACACTGCAATAAATGTTCAATGTCTCCTACTAACATATTTTTTTTTTGTTTTCCTTGTCATCCCCCTGGGAAGGCATTTCCTTGAAGAGGTTGGGGAAGACAGAATGGCTCTTTTGGTTTATTTGGGCACTTTTTTCATGGTAGAAAATTATTGGGGGATCTTTAAAAAGTCCTTGTCAAAAAATGACAGAAAATAAGGAGAGTATATGTGTGTGTATAAAAACACACACATGCACAGAATTCTGGCGGACAGGAAGGGCAATATTTATAGACCACAAATTGAAACTGTGCTTGAAGACTCATCGAATTGTTCCTGCACAAATCCAGCCCATACTCTCAGCCACTTTGATGTCACTCTACATTTGCAACTGCTCCCTGAAGTGGACTGTCCTTTTCACTATAACTTATGTTGCTCAGTGTACAGACTTTCTTTTCTGGACACTGTCCCTCAGAAGAGTTGATAGAGATTAATCACTATAATACTTGGGAGGAAAATATATTTGGAATTTATTGGATAAGTTATTAATAAAATCGCATTTTCATTTATCCATAAAATTCATTCTTCTTGATAATATGACTTCAGGAAATGATCATTAAGTATTAGTATCTTAAATTATTTACAAGAACTCAGTAAAACGAATAATCTAATTACAGACAGTTGTCCTTTTGGACAATTAAGTTTGAGAAAACGTCATGCAATGAAAGCCAGTGCTTTTTTTGCTCTCTTTTGATATGACAGTACATCTGAAAGGAAATCCAAGCTTTGCAGATTGGTAGAAAGGAAAAAAAGTTCAGCTGTTTCCACAAAAATAAGGCAGTACTTTTATTCACTGTGCAAAAACAAGCAATTACCATATTAACAGTAAGACACTTTTCACTCTTAATAAAAATTACGCTTCAAAACACACGAGCTGACAGAAAAAGAAAAGATCAAATTCTAATTGCTATAATGAAGTTTAATTAACTTGGCTCAGAACATGGAGAAGCATATGATGCACATGCAAGATGAGTATCCTGTGATTCTAGCAGTGACACAAAAATTCAAATCACTGTGACATTCACGTAAGAAAGAAAGTATATACCTCACTACACAACTATTACACCAAATAATTACGTGGCTATTGAACCTTGAAACATGAAAGTGGCAATTAAGTACTACACATATTTTTAATGATAAAATGCTATCATAGCAGCCACAATACATTTAATAGTTAAAAATATGTTAAAAGAATGCATATGGTCAGCATACTTTATATACTCTACCAAAAGGCACTGCTTAAACATACACCTGGGTTGGTATTTACCACTACCACACTTATTCTCTGCTTATGCTGTATGATTAATATTAAAGATAAGCCTTCATATAGCATCTGATTAGTGAAAAAATATCCAAAGAATACCAGTAGTCAATGAATTACTACATTGCAAATTTGCTAAATATGTTCTTTTCTTTACAAATATCTACATTCAGTACCATCATTGATGAAATTCTGAGTCTCCAGATGATGTGAAACAGAAAGATACTGGGCTCTAAGACCTCAGCTACATTTTAAAATTTTCTGTAGTTTAAGGTACTTACTCCCATCAGCAAAGAAAATATCCATGTTCTGTAACTAAAGCAAGGATGCAGCCTTTTGGACAGCTGAAGGTCACTGGATTTGATATCTGGTATATAATTTCCATTCTCTTGTTTTCCCCGCTCCAAAGTTGGCATCCTGTCATAGCTAAATTCTTCTCTGTAACCTTCTTCCCTGGTCATAACACTTCACAAAGGCAATTAAATAATAATAATGGAAATTATGAGGAAAGAGAAAAAAAATACTTTAGTTCCTTCACATACTCAGATCAGTTCTCAACTTTTTGTCATTAATAATAAAATAAATAAAAGCAATATTTAGCTATTATCTGTATTTACACTTCAAAATATGCAAGCTTTCTAACAACTTACTTGCATGCAATAAGTAAATTACATCCTACAGCCAAAGTTCATAATAATACAGTATAAATACCAACCAAATGAAATCCATGATACCTCAACATACTTCAAGATCTAAGAACAATTTTTAGAGATGTTTAGTTTGAGGGTACCTCTACAACCAAAGTTGTTTTTTTTTTTTTAAGTCTGGGACAGAAAACACAGTTAAAATTGTTTCAGTATTAAGTTCCATTTGATTTTAACACCTTTTATCAGCTATCTAAAATGACAGACTTCCTTAGGAGTCCGATGAACACATATACTCACAATAACTCAGCTACAGCAAACTGTTTCTAATTTACCTAGTATCAACCATTTCTCTTGTTCAGTCAGTCCTTTTTTGTTCACCTCACAGTTTGCCAATCTGTTCAAATACCTTGAGGAGTATATTATATTAGAATTAAGTTACTGCAGATTTTTCAACAGTTAAAAACCTTCATGCTTACCTTTCACTGAAAAGTTAGCTGTCAGTTTGAAGCAGCCTTGTGAACACAGCTGCCTGTACACTTTGTGATATTCTCACCGTTCAGTGAGTCATGCCGGCTTTGAAAAGTTCTCCCTTACACTTTGGCTTTCAACAACATCTATTCAGATATGGAACAAAAGCACAGCAAGAACTTCAGTTAAGCCAGGGAACAGGAAAATGCCTCCTGAATTTTAATTAACAGAACACACTAGAAAATGACTGTACTACATCTCATAGGGCCCTTCCAAATCAGACCAACAAATTAAAAAAGTTTCAAGTTTCTTTCTTATTTGAGTACTACCCCTTACTTAGTATCTTAAATAAAAGCTTCCTCACAGTTTACCAGTGTTAGCTATTATAACAGATAGTGATCACAATATCCCACAACTTCATTCTTATTTCAAAAGAGCAGAAGATACTTACAATGCAGTATTCTCCTAGAAAAAAACACAGACAAAAATTCAAGTATTCAAGTATCCCAACAAGTTAGGAGGTTCAAAAGTTAGAAGTTAGAAATCTATCAAGACTATTATCTTCATTGTATAACACTACTTCATCTTTTTCTACTAACCCTAGTCATCTGGGGTGTTCAGATAAACTCTGTACACTTCAGTCGTGCTGTCATGCGTACTTACAGAACACCCAGCTGACTAAACAACATATTTTAAATCTAGCAGGCAGCAGTGACATGCAATGGCCAGGGTACATTGGATCCAGTCCTCCTGCTTATTAGGCAATGAAAAGAAAAAGAAAAAAAAAGAAAAAAAGAGGACGTTTTTATCTTGAAGATGTTGGCACCTTGACAGCTACAGCAATGACAGGGTCTTTTGTCTAAACTTTAAACACTCTTGTAACCAAGACACAATTAAATCTTCAGTATTCTGAAGGGCATCACCTTTAAATTATGCTAGAAAAACTTCTGAACAGTGCAACTTGTCAGTTTGTACAGACTGTAGATTTTGATTTTCTCATAATGTCAGCCAATACTGAAAGAATTATTAAAACAACTGTAACATTCCAATAAACAGGGAAATTAATACACCATACACAGCAATAGACACAGTTGTAAACTCTGCTAGAAAAGGAGAAGGAAAAAAACTGTGCAGTCAAGCAAAACTGTTCTTAAGCAACTATTTTCATTATCTGCAATTTTCCAAAGACTATGATTTAATGGAAAATGGGTAATGCTTACCTGACAAGCTTTTTTGATGAATGCTAGGTAATGATGTATTCTAACACAAATTACTCTAGATACAAAAGAGGATCATATTTTAACCCTTTTGACCAATTTAGGGAGAAGGTTGGTTTAGGGTTTTTTTACACAAAATTGGTGAGACATTCAGGTATTTACTTGATTTAATCTCTTTGAATAAAAAGAATTCATAACATCCTCCACCACTGAACAGAGTGGAGTTCAAACCCTGGAACATTTTGTTCACCATTGCAAGTGTTTCAGCCAGTATTGTGTCTGAAAGTTCCCTCTCTCAAGCGTGGCACTACAGTATTTTCTCTGGTTATGGTGAAATTCTTCCTGCCCCCTTTCCTGTGCCCTTCTCAGTATTTTCCATTTCCTTTTTGCACAGAGGTTCACCACACAATTACTGTATTCTCTGCACTTGGCCTCAGCATCAACAAAAAATACTTAAACTTTACAGTTCAGTTTCTACTCTAAATATTTTCTGGGGCCCTTATTTTATGTTCCCTTTGTTTCATGTTCCTGATTCCATAAGAAGTCTCATTTTTGTGTATACACAACCACAAGGCAAGATCTGGTACCAGAGCCCAAGTAACAACCCAAAATCTTATAATGCTAAATAAGTACAAACATGCTGTACAAAGAGATTCCTCCTAATTCTAAAGAATGCATAGGAAACCTACACAAAGACTTCAGGAAGTAGAACAATTCCAAGAGAACACAACAGGCTTCTGAAAAGGATTTACAAATTAAGGGGGTTCATTCCAAGTTGGGCCAAAAGATCTCAAGGCACGACAATCAAATCATGAGCAGCTATGAAGAACTACTTACTTCCATCACAGAAATTACCACTGAACAAATTCAGCTGCCTGAAGCAGCTGTAGCAGATACCTGGTCATTTGCCATACGCTGTGCAACACAAGCATTCCCCAGAGTAACCACAAAAGACAAAAAAGAGATTGACAACTATAAGTGAAGTGTCATAGTCCTACTTTTACCATCAGTAATTAACAAAAAAACATTCTGTCCTAGGCCAGGTTCTCTAGAACTGAACACAGGCTCACACTCATGTTCCCAAATCAAAATGCAAACAACACCTGAAGGTCAGGTGAAATTTATGTTTACTGTCCTGCCCAACTTTTCATTTTCTGATGAGTTATTAGCTGCACTACATTTGTATTCTTTCACATAATATTTAATTACACTATTTTAGCTCGTTACCTGTATTCCTTATTCAATATTTTCAGCTCTTTTAAAATCAGCTCTTTAACGTATTTTGTTTCTCTGAAGCTGATTCCTCGGTCCTTGTTTCCTAGCTCATGTCTTTGGGCATGTACTGAACCAAGAGCAAAATGTAGGTCCAATAGCTTCAAAGGAATGTCTTGCTCCCCTAGTATACTATAAACTTCTTTGGATTTAGTCCTTCATGTGAATCATCACTTGAAGAGTTTAAGCAGGTTTCATCAGTATACAAACTATTCATTTTATGCTGTTAAGATTCTTCTAGTTTTATGTATGTCATAAACACATCATGGTACAATTTTAAAGGACATCCAGACTGAATACTGGTTTTTGCTGCCTAGCCCATTCTCTTGCAACAAGATTCCCAAGAAGCACAGCCTGAGAACTCTGTTATATTTTACAGAATCTTCTGACAAGACTTTTTGCATTTATAACTACTACCCTTCTCCAGAAAAAGTTTCTTCATCTGTCACATTTCTGGCAACTAACAGTCCCCTGCCTGCACTCCACTGGAATCTTAGTGAAACAAAAGAGTACCTAAAATCTTTTAAATCAATGTATCAAAAAGAGACTATCACTATCTCAGCACTTTTCTAAAAACACCACTGACTACAGATACTGATACACATTACTCCTCCCTGTAGCATCATCTCAGTTACTTCAGAGTGAGACACTGGAACCCACGTGCAATTACTGGCAACCAGAATTTATTCTGCCGTAGGAACTGTACAGAACTCTATAAAAGTGTTAAACAACCTGAAATATATTCCTGGCCCTTCTTTGCCTAAATAATCCTGAATGAACCATACAAATGGAAACTAAAAAGTTGCCAAAGACAACTGCTGCTTTAGTCACAGAACTTAAATCACAGAATGCAATGAATCACTATGGCCTTTCCACAACAGCCACAGTTTCCCATAAAAGTATACACTGCCCTGCTCAACTTCCTGCAACCACCTCCTCTCAGTCCTGTGTGGCAGTTCCTATTGAAACTACTGGGATGCTGAGCTTGTCAACTCAAGAATTATGCTTTGTGAAAAAGTACTTGTTAAACAACATATAAAGGGGGCTTATACAAAATACTTGAAGTGTATTGTGTGAAGAGAACTGGTAAAAATATGAACTAAGGAAATGGTAAGCAGGTCAGTAAAATTTTATTTCCTTTAGCACCGCAGCAGCTCCTGCATTTATGATATTAGGACAAAAATACTTTTTTTTTTTTCCTGTTAGCCAAGTTTATCATGTTCTAGAGCTTACCCTATCATTTTGAAACCGGCTGCTCCTGAGAGAACAGCAATCCAACAGCGTGCCATTTGCACATGCACACTCTTCCACACCCTCCATTTCACTATACTGAATGGGCTCCATGCCTGGCTCATTCCCAGGGCCACACAAGCGCACAGAGAGCCCTCAGCCCAGCGGCTGCCCGTGGGTTTTCCCTGGGCAGGACATCTCACTCACAGAAACCGCGTCACACACCCTGCGAGCACAATCTCCGACAGCACCACCAGCAAGCGATGGGCTGCACGCACCGCTTTGCTTAGGCTTTTCTGTGGTAGCCACGTGTGACACCGCCTGTAACACGCCCTCAGCCCTGCAAGCTGACACCCCACAGACGGAGGCCCTCTCGCCCTCCCTCCCTCCGGCCGGTGGTGCCGCCTCTCGGTGCTGAGCGGGATAAAGAGGTCGAGGCTCCCGCGGCCAGAGCGGCCCCTTCCCGGATCCAGCGGCACCGCCCCCCGGGGGCCGTGGGAACGCGCGCGCTCGAGGCGCGTGGGCGCTCCCACGTGACCGTGATCGCGCAGCGCGATTGGCCGCGGCGGCGCGCGGCGCGGGGCTCGAGGCGCGGCGGGGCGCGGTCCGAGGCGTCGAGAGCGAGCGCGGCCTGCGCGCTCCCGGGGGCGCTCCCCGGGGTCGCGCCGGGGGTCTGTGTGCGCACCGGGCAGCCCCGCGATGTTCTGCCTCCTTTCTAAGGCGCTCTCCTACTTCTGGAGACGTGCAGGTGACGAAGATGAGAGATGGGCGACCTCAGGTAAGGTTCCCTGGGCCCATCGTGGTTTCGTGGTGCAGTTTCAGGGCCGCGGGGGCGCTGTGGTCTCGTCCGCCACGTGAGTGGAGCTTGAGTGCGAGCCTGTTTCCTTAAGAAAGGAGATGAGAGGGTTGTAAGACAGTGTTTCGACTACAGAACATGTGGGAGTGTTCCCAGAAGTACTTTTTCACTGTTTCCTGCGTACGACAGGTTACTGTGACCACCTAGGGTATGGAGTGTGGTGTAGGAGGAGTGTTGTGGTGGATGCTTTGGGTGTCCCCTTGTGCTGCTGTCTTAATAAATAAAACTTCATTTTACGTGGGCTGTAGAATGGAGATGATAGTGAATTCTTTCATATTCCAAGACGGTGGACATTTCAAGTGCTTTTAGTAGCATTGTTCAATGTGGCATAAAGTGCTTTTTCATATTTATGAATGCTTAAAACAATAAAAGATTACTTTCCTTTTTGTCTTGATTGTGAGTGTAGCTTATAATATGTTTAAAGTCTAAACTAGCATACTTCAGCTTTAAGCTTGAAGTTGCAGTGCAGTTGAGTGAATGTGTGATATGTAAGGAGATAGTAGTACTTATAATCCAAAAAACTAGAAACTCCTATGGCTCTAGGAGAACAACACCACGTCTCAATTCAGAAGTGTATTAACTGTAATAATTTTAAAAAATGAAGAATTGTTTTATACAGCTTGTTTACACTTCCTGCTTTTTCAATATAGAAATCTCAAATATGTTAGATTTGCCATACAAACAGTGCTGAGAACTTTCTTTTACTGTAAGAGAGCTTGACGTTTGGAAGAAGGGGCAGGCAACTCAAGATTACTGCAAGGGTGCCATGAGGTTATTGTGCCTGGAGAAGATTAAAAGAGCCAAAACCCAACTAGAAAGTTTCTGTAAATGTGGTAGCAACAAAAGGAGAGCTAAAGAGAAACCCCATCATTTTTTGGGTGTGGAGGGAGACAGTGATAAAGGATGAGGAAAAGGCTGAGGTACTTAATGCCTTCTTTGCCTCATCTTTAATAGCAAGACCATTCTGACCTCAGTGCCAGGGAAGGTTTTGGAGCAGATCATCTTAAGTGCCATCATGTGGCATGTGCAGAACACTGGGGGATCAGGCCCACCCAGCGTGGGTTTATGAAACACAAGTCCTGCTTGATCAACCTCGTCTCCTTCTAGGACAAGGTGACCCATTTAGTGAATGAGGGACCAAGGGATTGAGTGTACCTTGATCAGTTTGCGGATGACCCCAAGCTGGGCAGGAGTGTTGATCTGCTGGAGAGTAGGAAGGCTCTGCAGAGGGATCTGGACAGACTGAATCGATGGGCTAAGGCCAGTTGCATGCAATTCAACAAGTTGAATTGCCAAGTCCTGCACTTGGGTCACAACAACTCCATGCAGAGCTACAGGCTTCGGGCAGAGTGGCGGGAAAGAGGCCTAGTGGAAAAAGACCTGGGAGTGCTGGTTCAGCAGCAGCTGAACATGGAGCCATCAGTGTGCCCAGGTTCCCAAGAAGGCCAGTGGCATCCTGGTGTGTATCAGAAATAAATTGGATATTAGGAAAAATTTCTTCACTGGAAGAGTTATCAAGCATTGGAACAGGCTACCCAGGGAAGTGGTTGAGTCCCCATCCCTAGAGCAGTTTAAAAGCTGTGTGGATATGGCTTGTAGGGACATGGTTTAGTGTTGGACTCTGCAGTTTTAGGTTTACAGTTCAACTCCCTGATCTTAAAGGTCTTTTCCAACCTAAATGGAAAAAAAGACAGGCATACAGAGGCTGGAGAGCAGCTGGGTGGAAAGAGATCTAGGAGTTTGGGTGATGGCAAGTTGAATGAGTCAGGAATGCCCTGGCAGCCAGGAGAGCCAACCCTGGCTGGGGGGACATCAGGCAAAGCATCACCAGCTGGTCAAGGAGGTGATTGTCCTGCTCTGCTCTACACTGGTATAGTCTCACTTTGAATACTGTGGGCAGTTTTGGATGCCTCAATATAAGAATTACATCAAACCATTATAGTGTGTCCAGTGGAGAGTGACCCATATATGAAAGGCCTCAAGGATCAGACTTATGAGGAGCCTCTGAGGTCACTTGGCTTCTTTGGCTTGGAGAAGAGAAGGCTGAGGCGTGACCTCATCCCAGCTGACACCTTCCTCAAGGGGGGCAGCGCAGGGGGAGGTGCTGATCTCCTCTCTCTGGGGAGCAGCGATAGGACATGAGGGAGTGAAGCTGCACCAAGGGAAGTGCAGATTGGACATTAAGAAAAGGCTCCACACTGCAAGGGTGGTTGGTCATTGGAACAGGCTCCCCAGGGAAGTTGTCACGGCATCAAGGATGTCAGAGTTCAAGAAGCATCTGGATGATGCTCTGAGTCATATGGTTTATTTTTAGGTAGTTCTGTGAGAAGCAGGGAGTTGGACTTGATGATCCTTATAGATCCCTTCCAACTCAAGATATTTTATGTTGTTGGGGTTTTTTTTAATTCAGCTTAAAACATGTTTTTTTACGATGTAGTTTGTATTTAACTACCTTTATTAATTGGTTGAAATGATAAGTTACCATAAAACTTCAAGATTAAAGTGTAAAAATAATTAGTTGGCAACTGTTGCTATTTTTATTTGGCTTTTTGATAGAAGGGATAGCACTTTTATTAGCATTCATAACTTGTTGCATAGTTCTGTAAACACGTAATTTGGACATATATGAACACTTTTCCTCTTGATGCAGGTGATCAAGAATTGAAAACAGTACAAGGAGTAGTGACAAGACTTTGTCATGATTATGGGATGATAGATGACATGATAGTCTTCACAAAGGATGTTGTTACAAAAAACATGTTACTGGCCATTGGACAAGAAGTTATTGCCACAGTGGAAGAGGATCAAACATCGGGTGGCCTGAAGGCTATAAGGGTAAGAGGTGAAGATAAATACTAGTCTATTTAAGTATCTTGAGGCTTTGTTTTGGAAGTTGCTATAGTTCTGGCCTCACAAATTCTACAAAATAGGAGAAATTGCTAGCCCTTCACCCAGTGGGGATGAATTCTTTTTCAGGTTTTTTATTATTATTTTATTCCATCTTCTGGGAGCCCCTGGTGGTCTAGTGGTAAGGGCGCGGCGCTGTCACCGCCGAGACCCGGGTTCGATTCCCGGTCAGGGCCACTCCCGGGTAGGTGGGGCTCGTTAGCCCTTAAAGGCAACCCACCTACGTCCTAAGGACCTCGCTGCCACCGTCCAAACTCGCTTGGCCCCGGCAGATGAACCTTAGGATTAAAGGGTGGGCTCAGTTCCGCGCACACTGTGTCTCACCTAAAAAAATCCAATGCGCAGGCTGGAAGGTGTAAAGACCTTCCCCGGATCTTCGCTCGCGAAGACTGGCCATTATTCCATCTTCTTTAAAATTACGTTTAATAATGATTCTCTGAATATAGATGTAGGGAATATGAAACTACTCATTGAGATAATTGCATCAGAATCTGTTTAGTCATAGCTACTCTAGATCTGTGCATAACTTTTCTGAGTTTCAAAGTCAGTTTTATGTTACTGTTATATGAATGCAAAAGAACATAAAAGCAGGGGCTGCAAGTTTACTCTTTTTGCACAGAAGTAAGAACGTAAATTTCTCTGTTGTAAAAATTGGCAAGTTAATGTTAGACAGTAATAAAAATGGAGATATCTGTACTTTTTTTGCTTAACACTTCAGTTGTAAATCTATTTCAAGCTTGATTATACCCTGTCACAAATTTTGAGGGGAGTTTTTCTCAGTATATTTAATGTTGAAATCAGTGCTGTTTCATTGATTAAATAGACCTGAAGAAAGACTGTTAATGGGGAGAGAGTTTTATTGTGTGATCTAAAATGAAACACAGAAGGAAAGGAAAAGAGAAGTCTTGCTTCTAAAGTATTACCGGCTCCGGTGGTATCAAAAACCTAGTGTCTTGTAAGATAAGCTGTCTCTTCTTATTTACTTTTGTTTCTTCTTTTTAAATTGAAATTATTATATAAAAACTAAATATTGTTTGTCCAACAAGCAATCTCAGTGCTGTTTGGTAAAATAGTACTCGCACACAGAGTCAGGAAATGGATTAGTTTAAATTCTGTTTATTCTTCCTTGTTTTCCTTCTGACTGACAGCTTTCACCGTACTGTTGAAATATTGTTGTTACTCCAAAATACATAAACCTGGCAATCGAAAAGCTATAAAAGGATCTACAAAACAAGTATAATGTTTTAGCAGTTGTGGGGTGTCTTGCTGTGTGTTCTAGATAATGGCATTTTCAAAAGCATAATGATTTATCTTACTCCTGTTTGTCAGGCATAATCCTACAGGCATCTCAGACTGTTGGCAATATAGTGTGTGACTGGGTGAAAAGCTGAAACCTGAGTTTATGCCAAAAGCTGAGTGGACTCCATAGAAAGTCAAAGTCCAAGAGCAGTCTTGATTCAATAAGCAAGAAGAAAAAGCTTGTTTCTTCAAAGTCTGTTCTAAGTACTTGAATAAAAACCTAAACTCATTCTGTACTTTTTGATGTCTCGAATTACTTTCCATGTAGTGGCACAAACTTGACCCACTCTGAGTTTCATAAGTGTAGTCTTCGGAGGCCAGAGGCAATGAGCTAAGTCTCTTTTTAAACTCCTCCTCAGAGGAGAAAATTTAGCTTCCTATGTATAATGATTATAGAAGTATAATCATTAAATAGTGTTCAAAATGATGCTTGAACATGAGTACTATCGCTTTCCAGTTAACTCAGATATTCTTGATGAATGTGAAGGTATATCTGTCAGACTGGATCAAAACATAGATTTTTTTTAATTATTATATTTTTTACAGTGAGTTTTCATGTTATCAAAAGGAATATCAGATGATGATAGTTCTTTAAATGCAGTATCCCTGCACTGGCTAAACAATAGCTAAGTATATGTAGTCTAACTATAGAGTTTGTGCACTCTGGAGGTAGACATAGGCTATTTATTACTATCTTAAATGGTAGTATGCATTATGTTCAGCAAAATAAATCACATAAAAATTAGGGTAGTAGTATAGTTCAGATTGGACCAGACTTCAGTAAACTTAGATTTGAGGTGGTGCTATACTCTGTGAGAAGCAGCTCTAGGGGTTTTCTTATTCAAGTTATTAAAGAACGACTGATGGTCAGGCTGAAATGGTGTTTATAAACACTGTCTTAGAAATGTATTTTTTTACTTTCTGAAATAGTGATCAGCTCTAGTTCTACTTGTGTACAGTCACATTGCTCAGGGTGGTCCTCATGTCAATATGAAGAAAATTCTTAACTAGACTTAAAGAAAGGGAAGCCTGAGAAAGATTTGAAAAATAAGCATGTAATTATAGTAGTTGGCAGAGTTGCGGTATGCAGCAGATTTTTTAAAGGAGAAGTTACTTACTATTTACTACTCATTGGTTTTGTGTACAAAAATTAACAGCTACAGTGAGTAAATAATTGTCTAATAATAAGCTTTGCTACCATAAGGATTGAAATTCTGGTATTTATTGTGGGAATATATGTTTAACATGTAATTCTAAGTATCAGATGTTTAAATGTTGGGGTTATTTTTGTATTAATAGGTAGACGCCATCCAGGATACACAACAAGACTTCAGTCCTACTTTTGATGCCTCTGAACTAAATAACAAAACATTAATTGGCAGTATTACGTCTCTCTCTAAGCATGGTGGCTATATTAATCAGAATACTTACTTTGCAATGGAAGACGTCTGGGAAGGTGTGTAGGGGCTTTCTTGTTTCCTCTTCCTTAATATTTTTGTGTGTACAATAGAAAATATCTTCGGATGAACTTGCAGTTGAGATCCCAAGTAAGTTCTAATAGAGTGTATGCAGTGAAACACCCATATGTGGGTGAAGAAAGCTGCCTGTTCATTCACACCGAGCATGACTTGTGTAAAGTCAAGTAAGCATAACTTAAATGTAAACAGGTGTATTTTTCCACCAGCATCTCATATGTAGTTTGGCATCAGCTATGGGGAGAGGAACTGCAAAGTGAAATTTGGAGTCAGTAGGTCTGAATAATGCATTGTCCTGGATTTTACTTAACTTACGCTAGTTCCATAGGGGAGTAATGTAAATCAATATATCAATAGTAATTAAATAGTATCAACAGTAATGGTAATTAAACTTGAGAAATGTTCTGTTTTATGTAGATTTCAAACCTTGTGAAGGTGATTGGGTGCAAGCAAAGTATTTTATTAATTTGACAACATGGAAGAGTGAAGCAGTTGCTGTAAGGCCTTTGAGATATAAGCAAGTAAACAAGGTAAACATTCTGCATGTTGGTTTTGGCGAGAGGAATCTTGTGTGAAGTGGGGTTTTGAAACTGGTTTAAGTTAGGAATAGTGGTAGATCTTCTGTTATACATCTTTAAACGATAAAATACATCGATTAATCCATTTGTAGGATTGTTTCTAGAGTAACAAGGCTTTTTGAGAAAGTGTACACATTTTAGTTTGAACAGGAAGAGTAACTAATTTATTATCAATTGTTGATTTGAATGCTTACTATTGGTTATAATGAGGATGTGTAGATTTTCAAACTTTTTAAGAAGTCATGACTGTGGAATTTATTATGTTTAATTTTTCTAAGTGGCTTAAAAACAACCATTGTCCCCTTTTTTAATGAAAGTATTTGTTTACTGTAATGCATCTCTTAGGTTTATGGTTTGTTGTCTTTGTCTTAACTGTATATATTGAATATTTGCATGTCAAGCATAGGAAAATATTTCTTCTCCTGCGCCTTCTACTATTGAAGTATAAAATACATAAGTTGATATGTCACAAGACAGATATCATGATTAAGTCAAATGTATGTATTGTAGTGTGCACTTAAGTGCTGAACTGTAATGCTTATCTGAAGTACTTGTTTTTCTTTACAATTTAAAATCCAAAGACAAGCACAGATTAAAGATCTAGGTTTACCTCCTGTGAATAACTGAAACTTCAGAATGCAACTTTGTTAATGCTAGAAGGCCAGGTAGAGGACAACAATATGCAATGCTATTATGTCTGTCAGCTTAAGCAGACAGACAAGTAACACTGAATACAAAATATTACAGGTTCGCATTTCCAGCATCTGTGGAAGAACTGGGACAGTAGATGAGAGTATATTTTTCACTTTGGATTCCTTGAAACTTCCTGATGGCTACTCACCTCGTAGACATGATTTAGTGAATGCAATTGTGGTGGAAAGCAGTCAGTCATGTTATATTTGGAGAGCTCTCTGCCTAGTGCCAGTCAACCAGGATGGGTAATATTCATTATTTTGTTCTCTTTATAGCAATTAGACATGCAGTGTAATGATGCACCTTACATTTCATTGTGTCTGTTAAACGAGAAATACTGTGAATTCTTCTCTAGTTGTCTAGAAGGCGTGATAGATCACTGGAAAAATCAAAGGGTGATATTATTTAGCCCTTGTTTTTTGTTTTTTGGGGCTTTTTTCCCTTTCCAGAAGGTGAGGACATCTGTACTTAATAGAGAAGCAAAACTAGTAGCAGCTAAGCTCAGGAATGTTGCTAGGCAGGGCAGGAGTTTTGCATGGCTTTATACCCCAAGCTCGTGCTCTTACCTTGTTTCCTCTAATTTGTGCTCTTCTAGTGGGGACTTGACTGTTCTAAAACCATTCTCAGTAAGACTGATATAAAATGAACATTTTTTTTTAATCCATTTTGCTTAAGTTGTAGTGATTGCTCAGGTAACTGTCCTAAGTGGAACAGTCAAATGATCTGGATAGTAGAGATTCACTGGGCTTGCAAGTATCAAACTGAGACATTCTGCAGGTACCTTAGATGACATGTGATGTGAGGAGGATCAGGAGAGACTGCAGAAGAGGTTGGAAAAAGTAGATGATGTTCAGTATGGAGAATAAGTAAAATTTAGTGAAATAATCAACTTCACAGATGTAGAATGGCAACTAGTAAGTACCAGTTCTGCAGCAAAATCTGGAGTTTGACCTGTGAATTTAGGTGTCTATCCTATAAAAAACAAATGCCACCTAAATAAATACGGCTATTACTTGTAAAATCTATCTCTTTCCATGCTAAGGCCTTGGTAAGATTACAGAGTCTGATTCTGCTGCCAAAAATAAATTGTCAACCAATTGCAAAGTCCAAAAGGGGAGAGCAAAAGGGCATTGTGATATCTTTCAAACATAGTCTTTAGAAGAACTTGCCTTTGGGAGATGTCCAGGAAATATAGCTAATGGCAGTACATATGTCTTCAAAGGATCTACAAGGAATGGAATAAGATGGTTTCACTAGAGATAACAGATAAAATCCATTTAAATTGTAGCTAGATGAAACTTGAAGTCTTGACATTTTGCAAAACAGTACAAATTGTTAACTTATTTTTTTCAGTTGTACCTGTTTTTAATGATAAATTTTATACAGAAAATTATTACTAAAGCTAAATTACAAAAGTAGACCTTAGAGTTGATTTCTCAGGCTTAGTGTACATCCTCCCTTATAAAAAAATTGAGGCAGCTTAAGCTGCAGGGGGAGACATCTAGTGGGCTTGGTTGGTAAATTGATGTAGCTAATGAAGAGCAGCTGCATTCATTTTCTACTTCAGTATGTTAGATAACTCAGGAATACTTAGGGTGTGTAAATATTGATGAGATTATTAAAATATTTCCAAATTATGTCCATGCTGCTTCATCTAAATGAATAGTTTCTTAATTACAACATAAAAACAATTTTAAAAAATTCTTTCTACAGGTAGAAGGAGATTAGAGCTGTGGTCAGTGTTTCAGACTGGAAAGAGCATGTGACTGGTTTCACAGATATTTTTTATCAGTAGTATATGTGATTGAAGTTTTCAGGGGTGCTTTTTGGTTTTCTTGTGGTTCTTAATTTCTTCAGTTTGCTGTTTTCAGATTGGAGTAATAAGCAGAAGATGCAAGTGTTTGGGTTAAAACACTTCTAGTCTAGTAATTTTATCTGTTAAGCTCCAGTTCTACTAATGACTCTTGCTAAGGAGCTGCTCTTTGTTGTGTCTTTGTTCAAATGCAAAAAAGATCCATAATGACTTCAGTCACTATTTGATTCATCTCTTCAGCAAAGATTAGATAACTTATCAATTATTTCAGTCTTGTGTCCAAAGTTTTATGCTGGTTTATTGTGCTGCTGACAAAAACTTGTTGCTGCTTAAATTAGTAAAGGTAATCTATTTACCTTGGAAGTATAAGTGGCTGAGAAAAAAAAAACTCTTCCACCTGCTTCTTTCTAAATATTGTAATTATGCCTTGGTACACTGCTTCTTAAACTTATGCTGAATCAAAGATATTTGCTGAGTCTATAAGTGTTTAAAAATTGCTACCTGAAATTATTGTTACAGGCAATCTCACTCTAATGGAGGTGATACAGATGAACCTTATGAAGACTTAATGAGAGAAAAAGGAGAGTTGAAAATATCAAGAATGACTAACTTTGGAACTCTGAAGCAGGGGGAATCTAAAAGAATTATCATTTGGATAGAGTAAGCCTTTCTGATTGTTTCGAAGATTTCTTTATTTCCATCACTCCATAGTCTGTAAACCCATCTTTCAGATAGAAGCTGCTTTAGTGGAGCCTTGTGATTTTTGATCTTCAAATAACCTCCATATACTATGGAAATAAAGAGAATTTAACATGAAATTTGATGTTTTGTGGGGGTACCTTTTTGATATTGAATATTTATATTGCAGAGAGTGCACTGACACTCCCCAATCCTATATCGTTTTTCAATCCTAATCATATCTTTTCTGAAATAAAGATTGAAATAAATGCTTTTAGTTGTAACTGTGTTTAATTTAAACTACAGGTACTCTGCCATATTAAAAACCTTTATAACAAGAGGACTGTAACATACTCATGTATTAAAAGCAGACCAGATTGGGGTTTTTCTTTTTTTTTTTTTAAACTTGGATACTAAAGAACTATATTGGTGTATCCTTGAGAGGTTTTTGTTGTGGTGGTTTTTTCTAATTTTTTTGTTTGTGTTTTTTTCTTTCACATCTGGGCATAAAGTCTTAAATGAAGACACACCTGAGTACTCATTTTTTTTTGTTGCCCTGTGTTCTTCCTTAAGAGTTAGTTACCCCCTGATGAATTTTAAGCTCCCATAGAGTTTTATAATACACAGTATTTCTGTATGCTTCTTATGGTAGTCGATGTGACCTAGAAATATTAACATAGAGGTTCTAGTTCTCGTGAGTTAGAAGCAGCAGTGCAATTTCTTTCTGATAGCAGTTATGAAATAATGGTGAACTAACCTGCAGGCAATTGTACTTGACTTCAGGTAGAATTAAACTTCTCAAGAACATTCACTATGCATTTAATTATGTAGCTAATCACATAACTACTTCTAGGAATAAAGGGAGTGTACCACAGTCCTTAATCAGCTGCAGATTAGCTGGATGGGTGAAGGACAAGCAATTCAGTGTTCAGATTCCTCAGAAATGTGAGAACAGTCCAGAAGCATATCTGCCATCTTTTCCAATAAATCAAGAAGACCTCTCAAAAGAAGGAGTTAATTCATTTAACAACAGGGGAGGAACAACGTGTGAGTCATCAAACAATACATCCACTAAGAAGAATGGAGTCATTCCAGGTACAGTGAAATGTTAATATTTGAATGCTGAGTGTTAGCTCCTTAGGAGACCTATAGGTTTGTTTGAGAAGGCTTGTCTATGTTAGCAATAGCAATTGTGGTAACAAAATTTGTTATTATATGTTTACTACAGAAGGAATTAATTTTCAAGATACAGATTTATCAAGGACAGAAGAAAACATTTCTCTGGTGAAAGACGAAAACCTGCAGAATGGAGGAAGTGAGCAAAGAGAACATGTGGAGCAGCCAGTAAAGCACGGCAAAATTACTGGAGAAACTGTGATACTCCCAGGTGGAAAAACATGCATAGTGATCATATGCACAGCTGTGTGAGTATTTCGTTCTATTGTTTCTAACCAATACAATGGAAACAGATCGTGAAAATAGACTTATTAGTTCCCTTATTCTGGGCATTGTCTCTTCTTGGTGTGTCGTGGTTTAACCCCAGCTGGCAGCTCGGCCCCACGCAGCACTCACTCACGTCTCCACAGCGGAATGGGGGAGACAGTCGGAAGAGTAAAAGTGAGAAAACTCATGAGTTGAGATAAAGACACTTAAATAGGTAAAGGAAAAGCCACACACACACACAAGTAAAGTAAAACAAGAAATTCTCCACTTCCCATGGGCGCACAGATGTTCAGCCATCCCCAGGAAAGCAGGGCTCCATCACATGTAACAGTGACTCAGGAAGATGAATGCTATCACTCTGAACATCCCTCTTCTTCCTTCCTCCCCCAGCTTTATGCTGATCATGATGCCATATGGTCTGGAATATCCTTTGGGTCATCTGGGGGCTCAGCTGTCCCAGCTGTGGCCCCTCCAAGTTTCTTGTGTACCTTCAGCCTCCCTGTTGGTAGTACAAGAAGGGGAAAAGGCCTTGACTCTGTGTAAGCACTGCTCAGCAGCAATGAAAGCATCCCTGTTATCAACACTGGTTTCATCACAAAGCCAAACAGAATGCCATACTAGCTACTATGAAGAAAATTAACTCTACCCCAGTCAAAACCAGTACATGGTATAGTGTAAAGTAAGCCAGTACATATTAGCAAGTTATCTTGTATTAGATTTTGAAAGTAGTTACCCTTTTAGTAATCAGAAAGTAGTTACCCTTTTAGTAAAAATCAATTCTGATTTTTATTGAAAGAAAATGGTAGTAGTTAATGAAGTAACAGAGTGGGAATAGATAATGTCTCTAAAATGACAGTGATGTGAACATAACAGATGGTTATTCCTTGCAGGAAATCCATGGCTCGATGAGCATGAGAGCTAATGCAAGTTTCCTGGGAATTTTTGTGTTATGTCTGGTACATTTCTTCAGTCTCAGTATCGTGTATTGCTACATACCTGATCTCAAGCTTTCCTGTTCTGTGATGGGAAATTCAAGTTATGTATGCTGAAATAAGATAGAAACAGCTTTCTTCATTGAAGGTGTAATTCATAGAGGAAGTGGTTTTCAGATATTAAAAAGCCCTTGGAAAACAAAAACTACTATGCTGTACAAAACATTTAATTAATTTAGTTAAGAAAGTGGCTCTGTGAGCTTTTTCAGAATTCAAGTAGGAACCTCATGCTTCAAAGCTTACATTTGTGTGCTTTTCAGTTATTTCCAGCTGAAGGTCTATAGGTGTTGTGTTCCACAGCCATTGAGTCTTAGGGTGATGATTTAAAAGTTAGATGGGAAAACAAGGTCAAGTGGTTTCATTCATCAAAGTAACACTGCATTAATTTTCACACTACTTCTCTTATAATTTTAAATAGTGAGGCAAGGGGTAGAAAATTTCTTTGGAGGATGTTTTAACTGCAATTTGAAAGATAAAGGCATGGCCTGCCTTTGTCAAGAAAGACATGTAGAAAGATAATTTATGTTTCACTGTAAATCTGTAAAGGCCACAAAGTCTTAGAATCTTCTAATACAGAATAATCCACGCAAAACTCAACAGGAGGCTGCAGCACATGAAAGTAGCAAGAGCTTGCTGGCCACTTAAGAGACTGTAGAGACTGTAAATTTAGACTGTAAATCTGGACAGTTCAGCATCAGCACAGAGTTTTTAAATCAGAGAGAACCAGGCTATAGTTTTAACCTGAGCAGGTAGTGTTAGTTGGCAGAAGTACAAAAAGTGATATTCCTGCCAAAGAGTAAGCTGGAATCCTTCTGGGTCCTGGGATGCATTGGTTTTGGGTACATGGTAACGGTGTTGGACCATGTAGTTAGTAGGAGAGAATTGGACTCCTATAGGTAGTGCTTAAGTTTCTTAGAGACCAGTGTGAAGAAACTGTTCCCTCCTGGTTTTTTCCCCTCTGTCACTCCCCAAGGAACACTTAAATATATAAAGTATGTTTTTTAGAATTAAAGCATCCCTCCTACTTCATCAATATCATGTGTTTACACTTAGGGTTCAGTTCTGAAGCAAGCTGCAGCAAAGCTGTTGCTGCAGGTGGTGAAGGGGTTTCTCTGCTTCAGGTTCCTCTCATGGAACTGTTTGACTCATCTTTTTCAGTATCAGTAATTCCAAGGTGTTCCTTGTTGACAGAAGTATTAATGCTGAGTGCAGGGATTTTGCTCTTTACCCAAGTTTTTCTGAAATTGTGGGGTTGAGATTTTTGCTACTGTTTTGGTTTGGGTTATTTTTAATTGTTTATGATACCTAGATTGAACTTGGGGTGGGGAGTAAGTGTGAAGAATTACTTGAAATTAGCAGTTCTCTTATGTTACTGAAATGAGAATCAACAGTTTTATTTCTAAAAGTACTTATGGTTGGGGAAAATGAAGTGTGAACATGCTGGTTTTAAGGACATAACTTCTGTTCACTTGAAGGAATCATGGGCACAGTAAAGAGCTCCTGTTACTTGGTTTTTCTGATTTTACTGTTGGACGCTATATTGAAGCCACTGTCACAAATGAAGAAGAATTACTTATAGCACCTGTGGAACCATTTTCTCCAATAAAGCCTAAAATTACTGCAAATTCTCAGCTAAGGAAGACAACAGTGGCTGCCCCTAAAAGCAGAAGGTACTGTGAATTAAAGATAACACTTATGTAATACTGCTCTATTTGCTGTTGCTATATCTGTTCTGTAATGCTAACAAAGAAAATGTGAAACTGGGAGAGTCTGTACATGTTTGTATGTTTACTACATATATGTGTATGTTGTAAACAAGATAATTGTGGAGATTGCAGATAGAAGAGGTTGTTTTAGTAAATAACTTCTTGATTTCATTGTAGATTTCTCAATCTCTTTCTAATGTATAGTGTAGTAATAAATAAGATAAAACATGGTTGCTTAGTTATCTACAAGGAACAGCTGTGTTATTAAGAAAAAAGATAGTAAATTGAAAATAGGTTTCTGGGATAATAAGCTTCTTAATTTTTTATGCAACTTTGATATCTATATCTGACAAATGTTTCCCATCTTTCATTCAGAACTTTTCCTTTCGCAAAAATGTTTCCATTATACTTATGGTATTTACTTAGTTATAAAAATATACCTAATCTGAAAAAGCAGAAACAGGCTGTTTTCAAGTAATCTCTAACTGGAACCCTAACATGATCACTTCCCTGGGAGCCTGTCCTAGTGCCCACCCACCCTCTGGGTGAAGGCCCTATTCTTAATATCCAACCTCAGCTTCCCTTGACACAGCTTCAGGCCATTCCCTCAGGTCCTGTCACTGGTCACCATGGAGAAGAGATCAGTGCCTACCCATCCTCTTCCCCTCACAAGGAAGCTATGAGATCTCCCCTCAGTCTCTTCTCCATACTGAACAGACCAAGTGACCTTAGCCTCTCCTCACACAGCTTCCCCTCAAGGCCCTTCACCTCTGTGCTTGGCCCATGATCCAAGTGCTCACTCACCACACGATGTGTTTATCCTTGTGCTGGATGAGACAGAGTTGAAAGCTTTGATGAAATCCAGAAAGATTACAACTGGCTTCCCTTGATCAGTTAGGTAGGTTACCTTGTCGTAAAAGGAAATTAAGTTTGTCAAGCAGGACTTTCTCCTCATGAGCCTGGGCAGGCTGTGACCATTGACTGTGTTGTCCTGCAGAATAATAATCCCTATATCTTTACCAGCCACTAAGGTGAGACTGACGGGCCTGTAGTTTCTAGGGTCCTCCTTCTTGCTCCTCTTGAAAATCAGGACATCATTTGTCAGCTTCCAGTCAAATGTATCTCTCCAGATTCCCAAGACCATTCAAAAATCATTGAGAAAGGTCTTGCAATGACATCAGCCATCTTTGAGTACTCATACAAATGTCACCAGGCTCCACAGACTTACAGGGATCCATCTGGAGGAGCAAATTGTGCACAAGTTCAGGGTCAACTGGGAGTTTATCTTTTTCACAGCCGTGGTCCTCCAGCTCAGGGCACTGGCATCCCCGTAGTCCCTCATCAGTGTTAAAGACAGGCAAAGAAAATGTTAAACACCTCTGCCTTGTCCGTGTCTGTATGAGGTGACCATCCTCATTGTGTAATGGCCTGGTGTTGTTTCTGCACTTCCTTTTACTGTTGACGTATTTTCTAAAACTTCTTTTGTCTCCCACAGTACTGGAATAGCTTCAACTTCAACTGAGCTTTGCCCACATGATTTTTCTCCCTACAGTGTCAGGCAGCATCTCTGCAGAGGATCATTTGTCTCCCTTCCCAATACAGCAAACTTCTCAATTGTCCCTTTGAAGGATTCATTGGGTCTGTCCTCTGTGTGCATGTGTTTGGGGTTTATAGTCTTGGTGATGTGGCGTGTTAATTAGCTGTCTTTCACATATATAATTTGAGAAAGCTGAATGGTGTGTCATATATTTTTGCTTTAGAAATAACAGAAGGTGGTGTTCAAACTTTCTCCCACATTATACCATACCGGATGAATTAAGAAGATGTGTGGAGCAGAAGTTAGACATACTGACTTTTCAGCCCCTCCTAGCAGAGGTATGCAAGTGTAGGTTTACACAAGAAAATACTTTTTATGTAAGTGTTTCTATTGAAACTTGCCTTAACTTAGCAAAAATGTATAGTCCTTACTGTAACTGACGATGACCTAACACTGTTGCCAAGTAGACTTAGATTTCAGCCTATCCCTTAGCTTCTATGAGTTTCAATATGTTACAGAATCCAAGCTTACAAAAGCCTAGATGTGAAAAACTGAAAAGGGAGTAGAAGTATACTGGGGGGGATATTACAAAAGCTAAACAAAGATTCTCTGTATTCTTACTTTTTAAGCATCATTGGAAAGGGTTTTTTGAGGTGTCTAAACAGGTGTTTCAAGAAAACGAAAGCAGAATCTCTTAAATTATTGCAATACCAGGATTCTTTTCTGGTTGTTAAAAATTGTTTTCTTAAGCATCCTCAGACTTAGTTCACTATTGGCTTGTTCCAATTCTTCCCACAAAGTATAGCAATTTTAGAACACGTACCAAATACCCCAAACCACCTCCTTTCCCCACCAAAGTCTTAACAGGAACAGTGATTCTTTCTCCAAAACTTTGCTCTGATTTCTGGTAGGACGTTGCTGTAAGTCACTTTTTTTGGGATACATTTTTAAGTACTTACAAACCGGAGCTGGTACAATTTTTAAAAATATAAAAGGCTATGTCAGCTGCTGTCTAAACAGGTTACACAAAACCTGAGGTCACAGCATTAAACTAGCAGATTAACGATCATCTCTCAAAAAGAAGATAAAACTCTGTAGTGTTTGAATTAATTTTATACTGAAGGCCTACCATTAATGATTATGTTCTTTTTTACCACACCTTAATTTCTGTCTGGTACTGGTGAATTAAGTCTGCATCAGAAAGCGCTGTTCATTTGCCTTGTATTTGAGTGAGAAGATATCAAATAGAAAGTGGTTTATGCTGTCATTGTTTAGATAGAACTTAGTCCTGTTGGAGAATACCTCTGCACTGAAATTTATTCAGCTCTGAGGAAGAAAATTCAGGTTCTTTCAGCTTCCTCTAAGTTGTATAATCATCAACCGGGGATGAGACTGACATGACACTCTCTCTCTTTCTTCAGCCATCTCTGTCCATGTACTTAGATTTTATGCTGTCCAGGATTTCTGAGCACAGAAATCAGTTTGTAGACTGCCCTTGAATTCAAATACCACTGTAGTAAGAAGAGACTTGGTTAACTCTTTAGCTGACTGGCTGTTGTAGCTGAGCTCCAAGGACTATACTAATTTTGCTTTGACTACTGGAGGTGTTTAAGATACTATCTGTTGTGTGGATACATGTATGTAGGTGTCTTAATAGGCAACCCAGTTGCTGTGCAGTCTGTCTTGAAAGCTGTTTTGTATAATGTTAGTAATTGTGGGTTCCGTGTCTTGTTGTACAACCATAACGTATACTGTTTTGTTTTGCAGCGTCTTAGTCTAGATAATTATACAGCAAACTTCTCTACTCTTCTGTGGCTTGAAGAGATCCAAGCAGAAATGGATTTAAAATGTTTCAGCATGAGTGGGGTTACTTTGAAAAGGAATGGGAACCTTTTAGTGCTGGAAGTGCCAGGAGTAGAAGAGGGCAGACCTCGCCTGGTTCCAGGTAGAAATTAATGTGAGGTAAAGCCAAATGGCACGTTGATCCATATTTTCACTACAGTATCAGTCTGTTGCTTATTCATTTGTCTAAAGAAGTCTTTCGCATATTTGAACACAAAGTTATTAATTTAGGCTACTAGACAGGGAACTACTGTGTTAGTGGCTCAGTCTTACAATGGCTGTTGTCTGAAGCAGCATTGCATTTGTCCATTCTTAAACATGTTCCAATAGGATTTTTCACGCACAGAAATCAGTGAGGCTTTCAGCAAAAATAGATTGTGCAGTGCAGTAATAGCTTAAAAGACAATAGGTATAGCAAAAGCTGAGAAAGTAGTTCATTTGAAATTCTGAATTTAGTTTTAAGGTTTGTTTTCAGCAGGTGTTGTCTGATGCCATCAATACTAGATGCCTTTTAAAGTATAGTATACAACTGCATATGGCATTTAGGAACAGGTAGTCACGGATACAGCAACTTTGCTGAAGTTAATCTCCTGCAAATTCCTAGTTTGAACATCCAAAAGAGGAAGAAATTATATGCTGCAGCAAAAGTTATACTATTCCTTGTAACAGTATGTTGCCTTTTAACTTTGTTTACAATTAGGTGATAAGGTGATACTGAGAAGTCAGGTCTACTCGGGGCATATAATAGAGTACATTGCCTTTATTACTGAGGTAAGCAAAGTGTATCTCCTCTTGAAAATGTGGTGGTCCAGAGGTTTCAAAAGGGAAGCTTGCAATTCATGGAGTTACAGACCAGTTTAACCTTCCTTGGTAAACTAGGGTTGTTTTATCTACATTCTGAGTGGTAATATTGTATTTTTGAAGGCTTTGGCTTCCCTATTCTTATGATATTAGTGCTTACCTGCTGTAAAAGCACTTGCAGCATAATCTAGATATGCAATATGTTGATAGCACAAAAATCTAGGTGTTCTTTTTAGAGGTGATGGGGGGGGTTCTGTGCTTTCAGAGATGCTTCTTGGTGTTTAAAGTACTGAATCTTCATCAGTGTCTCGACTTTTTTTTTTCTCTTTGTAACAGATATGTCAAGAAGATGTTACTCTTAAAGTTAATGCAGACTTTGAACAAGCTTACAACTTGGAACCCATGGATGTGGAATTTGTTCAGTGCAGGTGTTTTTATAAGTTTCAAAAAAGCTGCATTTAATGAGTCCTCTAGTAAAGGGACTTTTAAAGTATACATGATTGTCAACTGCTTGTTTTTGTGGATATAAACAGGAGAAGGACATAAGATCTTGCCAATTCTTTCACTTCTTTCCCATAACACACCTTTGCCACCATATTCATTGTTAAAAGTCTAAAAGTGTACAAGTGTACAAAGAATTCTTCTCTTAATCCTCTCTAAATTATCACACCAATGCCAGAAAGTGAAATGAGGGGGAATGAGGTGGGGTGTTTTGGGGTATTTTTCTTAGTTTTTTTCTGGTTTTAAGAAAAAACTATACCACTATGCAAAAAAAAAAAAAAAAACACCACCAAAAACCCTGATGTTAACTACCCATCCTTTTATGCTTTTATTTTATTCATGGAATATTGTTAACTGGAGTTACACAATCTTCTCTGTAAATTTAGCTTTGAAGAGAACTTCCTTGAAAGACTGCTAAGTATTGAACACAAGGCCATCTTTGTATCAGTGAAGAGATAGAGACTATATGTATCAATACCATTCATAGCAAAGCTCTTGACATTTCTGCAGCATATTTCTCAATAGATGCTTTAAAAAAAAAAAAAAGTAGTTTTATATAAAACTCTTATTTTTATATGCACTGGTGCATAGTAAAAAGTACCAGATAACTTGTAGATGTGTGCTGTTGTAGTGTGGAAATGTAAGATTTTATTTTAATCTACAAACCTGTATTCTGGTAACAGGATTCCCAGCAGGCGATGCCAGTTGGCAATTCAGCAAGCTTCCTACCTGGGTGAAAAAGGTACACTTTGGTTGACTTATACTGTCTAGAGGAGTTTCTTTGTGGGTAGTCTTGTGTTCTGTGTATTTTTCACATCAGGGCATACTGAGAATAATGCATTGTAATTTGGTCTCAGAGGAGTTTTCTTTGTGTTTGTTGGGGGCTTTTTATGTTTTGGTTTGGTTTGGTTTTGAAAATCAAAAAGCTGAATCTATAAAACATTTCATCAGAATGATTTTGTCTGTTGGCCATGACAGGGAAGAGGACTAGAAGCAAACTTTTGTGAGCTGTTTGAGCCAGTAAGAACTGTAGAAATTATACTTCTTTATTAATAGCAAGTGAAATGGCCATGTTTTTAGTTACTTCAGAATTTATTAAAAAGCACTGATTTCCTGTGGTATGGTTGAGTTGAATGATCCATATGATCTTTATGCAGGTCTTTACCCCATTCATTTTGATAAACCAATTTTAGCAGCTCAGAGTAAGCTGATGTATCAGCAGTAATGTTAATTAGTGAAACATGCAAAGTGTTCATGTGACTTTCAGATTTCTCTATTTTCTCTTTCTCTGCTAAATTTGAAGTGTTATTTCCGGAAAGGCTTGTCTTGCAATCACCACAAGCTATCAAGACACAGAATACTACTGAGTATTGTGGTGTTGATGATGGCCTTAAACAGTCTTCACAGCAGGAAAGTAAGGTATCTATTCTGTAAATATTCCTTAAATATTCCTTAAAATTATAAGCTTCATTCAGATTATTAACAGCTGTTGTTGGAAAGGAATTGCATTATGGAATAACAAAGAATCAAAGTTGTAATCTGCTGCATTCTGATGACAGAAGTTTTGTTTGCTGCCTCGGGATGGGAGATTTTATGGTAACTGATACGATTAAGCGCTCCCATCTCAAATGGAAAGTGCTTGTAAAAAAGTGTGATTGTAATGGGAATTGTGAGATTTGCCTTAGACTAGTTTTCCTAGCTACTGCTGAGTAGATACTTAAGTTCTGTCACTGCAGCAGGAAATAATTTTGTGATAGAAGGTAATCATCCTGTTCTGAGTAGATTCACCCAGGCTTACCTGCCACTATATTTTTTCTTAGAAAGGACTTCAGGAGGTTGCCTAGTCTTCCTTCCTGTTTGAAGCAGGACTGTCACCACCACTAAATCAAGTCAGCTTGGGGATGGGTAGGCAGCATTCTTTATTTTTGTCTAGTTTCCACAGCATCTGCATAACCTGTGCTTCACCACCTTTACATTCATTTTTCCTTAATTCCAAGTATGAATCTTCCACCTGCAATTTGTTGGCATGGTCCCTTGTTATATCATTTGTGACTACAAAGAAGAGTTTTTTATAACTCTGATATAAGCCATCATGGGCTATTAAACTGCCTCTGCATCTTCTCATGGCCAAACTAAAAATCCAGGCTCTCAGCCTCTCCACTTCGGAACATTATAATGGCTCATACACAGTTCTAGGATCCAGAGATGTTCCAGCTGAGCATCAGGCTATTGATTAATACTCTTTAAGCCCAGTAGTTCAGTCAGTTTTTCAGCTCATCCTGTCTGTCTGTTGATCCAGCTAATGTGTCCTCAGGCTACAAATAACAATGATGTGGTAAGTAAACCATTTCAAAAGCCTTGCTGCTTTTCTGTTGACCATGTGATAGTCTTTACACATAATAGTCTTTTCATCATTGAGGAAAATCAGGTTGGTTATGAAAGATCTGCCCCTTGGTTTAGCCATGTTGTCTGTTCCTGGTCACCTGTTTTTCCCATTATATGAAGCCTGTGGAATCCAGAAGGGTGTTCTCTCAGGGACTGGAGTGAGGCTGGTGAGCTATAGTTCCTCAGGTCTTCCTTGTCCAGAGCAGTATTGGCTTTTTCCTGCTATCAGAAAAATTTCCATGCTTGTCCTGATTATTTTTTATTATGAATTATAGGCAGTGGTGTCTACAGTCATAGCAGTGTGGTGGATCACATCTACCCTATCCAGTATCTCTAAGCCGATTGTAGCTCCCCTTCTGTGACTTGTACCTTTCCTTCACTTACTCTTACTTTGCACAGGAGTCTGGAGGTGTGCATATGAGACAGAAAGGACATTGAGTTCTTTCAGATGTCATCCATCAGTAAGTTGTCTATTTCTGTTCAACTGTGAACCTTTATGGTTGTTGAACTGTCCCTCTTCCACAGCATTTGCTAAATCCCTTCTTATTACGCTGTTCTCTTAACTTGAGCAGTACCTTGATCTCTTTGACCTTCTGATTTTGTTGAACTGTCCAAGCAACATTTTTATATTTTTCCTGTCATTGTTTCTGCTTTTAATAAGCCTTTTATGAATTCATCAAGAAGTTACAGGGTTAGCTAAGCAGGCCTTCTGTTTAGATTCCTAATGATCTTGTGCAACAAGATGGTTTGTTTACAACCTCTCAATAAGCAACTTTTAGCTCACGTGGGCACCTTTTTCCCCATATGGTGGCTCCCGAGAGGGTTTTGCTTGGTGAGTTCTTACAGTAACTGAGGTTTGTTCTAGAAGGGCTGGAGTTCTGACTGCTGATTTACCTTCTTAGCCTTACTCCAACCTTGCAAATCTCTGCAGAAAAGCTGATATGGTCTTTCCTGTGTATGAGGAGCAAGCCCAATAGAGTGTTATTTCTAATCAGTAAGTTAGCCATTTACATTAAGAAGTTGTCACCAACTAGTCTAGGAATTCTAGATGTTTTCTAGGTGAATTGCATCAGGTGTGTGATTGATCCAGGAAGCTTCACCACCTGTAATCAGGACACTGATGCCAGTTATTTGTCAGAAGTCTCCTCCATGTTCTCTTTCTTCTGGAGAGGATTTGTTACAGACCACTAGACAGTACTGCTGCTAGTCCATCTCTCTGTGGTAACAACTCAGACACATCTCTGGTTTTGCAATTAGTAATGCGTAGTCAAGGAGCTCCTCACATAGACCCAGAGCTGTGCTGCTGCTCTCAGTTATTGGTCTGCAAGATGTCTGCTTCTACTGGGACCTTTTGTTTAACTACAAGGATGGTGGAGAATATCACCCAGACCACTCATGCTTTTACTTCAGACCTACACAATCCTCCCCTTGCTCTGTTAGAAGTGTCACTAGTACCTGTAGGAGTGAGCAGCAAAGGGAGTGGTCAGAAGGACAAAATGAGCCTTGCAGTCTCTCCTCGACATCATGGCTCTGTAGAAGCAGCAAAGACCTCTGGATGATACCTGTGTCCTGTACCTGTACAAGGAGTAATCAACCCTTAATATTCATCACTTCACTGAATTGGAGTCAGTATTATTAGGATGACTGAGTCATCTTGTCCAGAACTTTGCCAACATCACATTCCCTATGAGCAGTTTTCTTCCATGGTACAGTCTGAATGGACATGTATCCACTAAGGAAGAAGCATATGTCCATACGTCTTGCTTAGTGGTATGGAATGTGAATTCTTTTGGGGAATGAAACAAGTTAGTCAGCCATGGCTTCAAAATCTGAGCTGCAAATTATTTGTGAAATACATGTTTCATGTTAACAGAAGCAAAACTATTAGAAATCTTAAATTTAATGTGGGAATTCCTAGCACCTTCTTCTATTACTCTTTCTGTTTTCACAGTAGATACTCTTTATTGGGATAATGGTATTTTGTGGGAAAAAATTAAAACTTAACTTCAAAACTTTTAGATTAGTGAAGATAGTTGCCCATCTTTTTAAGGTTGTCAATGCATTTATATTCACTTGCTGTTTTCAGGCCAAGAAAAAGAAGAACAAACAGGCAAAAGGCATGACATCAAGGGAGATGAATGTCCAGGATATGAGAGTAACTCTGCCAACAAGCCAACTTGGTATACTTTCTGTAGTTGAATATGAAGTATTACAGTTCAGGATTGCAATCACTTCAGTAAGCCAGGGCTGAGTAAGATACCTTTAAGATGTCCTTGTACTCTGTCTTTTAAAGACAAATTCTAGAACTACTAGCAAGAAGTTTCTGTGGAGGCTTTATGTGCCTTACTTCAGCATCTCTAGTTCACAGAATCCTAGAGTGGTCTGGGTTGGAAGGAACCTTAAAAATCATCTAGTTCCAACCCCTGTGCCATGGGCGAGGACACCTTCCATTAGACAGGGTTGCTCAGAGCTCTATCCAGTCTCACCTTGAACATTTCTAGGGAGAGGGCAGCAAATATCTGGTGATATATTTTTACTTAATTATCATTTTACAGTAGTTTACTGAAAAATATTTGGTCATATTCAGAGTTTTCAGTTTGTTACGGGAATGCTGTCTTATCCTTGGGAGAACTTCTTTGCCAAAGATGCTGAAACTTTTTCAGGTAGCTGAGATCATTGCTACACTTTTCTGGAAAGTGTGACTTCCAATATCAGCATACTAATATGCTGAAGAGGGTGATTGTGTCATTTTGTATCAGTAGGATGCCTAAAGTAGATTACCTAGAATGCACTTCTGTCCAAGGGTTAATAAGATTCTGCTGTGGAAAGCTAAAGGTAAACTAATTCAGACTGGATTAAAAAAAAAATTCCAATAGTTGAAATTTACTGCAGATCAGTTTTGCTGTTCTAGGACCAAAAAGTGATCCTGATGCTCAAATTACTTTCAATAATTTGAATTTTTATAGATTGTTGGGTTACATCATCACAGTCCTTCTCTGGCCTTCAATAAAGATCCAGTACACTTTGGGAATATTAATGTCTTATTTTCTACATTATATTCTGTGAAAACTGAATTTTTGAGAAATTCATTAGTTATTACCACAAAAGGAAGATAAAAATTTTCAGAAGCATATTGTGAATTGGAATTGCTTTAATCTACATAGGTTAAAAATACTTATGTAAAGTTCTCATAAATGGTTGTCTTGATTATAGTTGGTGAAACTGTGGCACTTCAAGAGAGGAGTGGTGAATTTTTCAATCCGATGCTGAATGTGCAACAGAAACTGGCGGTGAAAAGGATACTGAGTGGTGAATGTCGCCCAACACCTTATATTCTCTTTGGACCACCAGGAACTGGAAAAACAGTAACAGTAATTGAAGCTATTTTACAGGTAGTGGTGAATGACAAATCAACCATCTCTAATCTTTTCAGTATACTTACAGTATTTCTGTAGGTACCATCATATTTTTTCCCCAAGGAGTTTTCAAAATACTCTATTTAAGATAATTTTCTGTAGCTCCGTGAAAGAAGAAAATCCATCTTCATGTGGATTTAGCAGAGTTGAGAATAGCTTATTTTTAAGTCTTCTTGTCTTTGTCTTTAAAGCTTCAGTGAACAGTATCTAACTTGTGATTCCAGTAGTGCATAATGTATTCATGAAGTACAGATATACATTAGTATGATAACCATGAATTAATTCTGCTGTGGGTACACTCAGTGTGAGAGTACTTAGTCTTGACTGTCAACACGAGTGTTACTGAACTGCAAAAGAGCCAATGAACATGTATGGAAAACTCTTCTGGATTTTTTATTCAGTGAAATAAAATGAGAATGTTTGAGCTTTTGCTACTTCTCTAAATAATCTTTTTTAATATGTCTTTTCTTTAATGTAGATACATTATACTCTACCAGATAGTCGGATTTTGGTATGTGCACCATCAAATGCTGCAACGGATCTGATTTGCTTGCGGCTGCATCAAAGCAATCTCTTAAAACCAGGAGCTATGGTCAGAGTTAATGCTGCCTTCAGATCAGCAGAGGTAAATATTATGGATACCTGCCAATTAATATTTCCATTTTAATATTTTTATCTTAAAATACTGATTTGGTATTGTAACTGTCAGTTGCTGTTAGGCTGCTTAGGCTTGCTTAGGATCCAAAGTATTGCATTACTTCAGCTTTTCCAGAAGATTAAGTGGAAAATGTTCATCATAATCCTTAGTTTGGTTGTATGAGCATAGACTCTTAACATCTTTTTTGCAGTGCTTAAGTCTACAAGCAGCAAATAGTATTGTTGGGGATTTTTCATTTGATTTAATTTTTTCATTATTTTATCAGTCTGAGTTAAGACTACTTACACAGAAAGTAAACAAGTAGGATTGTCATCTTTATGCAGGACCACACATATTGTGGTTCATTACATATATGCATATATATTTATACGTATATATGTGTGTAGGTATGTATGTATATGTATACACATATATATAAATACATAATGTGTATAAATGTGTGTGTCTATGTATGCCTGTGTGGATGCACATATAGATATGCAACGTGTATATGTTACATGAAACACATTTTGTTCCTTACAATAAAGCACAGATGTCTTGCATATGTACTACTTTGTTTAGGTAAATTTATTAATTCATTTGAGTGTATGACTGGGTCTAAATCTATGTGTTCTGCTCAGCGTCTAAAATAGTTTTCAGAGAGCTTTTCTATTCAAATTAAAGCGTTTAGTTTTAGACTGGCATTTTGTTTTACAGAATACCTTTTTGTTTCTGCAGCAAATTGATGACATGGTGAAACCTTACTGCAAAGATGGTGATGATATTCAGAAAGCATTGTGGTCCAGGATAGTAATTACAACATGCAGCAGTGCAGGATTGTTTTATCAAACAGATACACGGTAGAGTACTATAGATAGGAATATCACAGAGATGGCTGGATGATACAAACCCCAGAGCTTTTAGAGACTCTCTGTACTCTAACTTGGGCTGGTTTAGTACAGTTCATGGTATGTGCCTTTACTGTGAAATAGAGTCAAACACTTGGTTTTAGTAATGTTTTAGCAGAAACTTTCTCCATAATAAATTTAAGAATTATCTTGAGTAATGCTTACAATTTTTCACACAGTAACTTTTCCTCTGCCACCAGTGGAAATTATATGGCTGTTGGCAATCACTTTGGCTCAGAATGATTGTCACACTAAAAATTATATTGTGCTTGTGACCAAGTCACCTTTACTAATTGTAAACAACAACCATCAAGTGCTGTTAACCAAAGATTTCTCTGATTTTGATTTTAACTCTGTAAAAGGACACTCTGAAGCTATACTATCTTGAGCTGTTTGGTAGAAACAAAGCTCGGGGATTGTCTTTGCTACACCATAGTGCATTGTTCTAAGTCAATAGCTGCAGGAAATTGAGAGTAAGGCAATCTTTTCTAAATATCTTAATCTTGATATAAACAACACTTTAATTAAGATAACTAGTGATTGTGTATATCAGAGTGTATAAGTAAAGTCAAAAATTAAAAATTGAAGTTACACTGTTGTTCTTTCTGTATTTCCAATTAAAAATATCCATTTTTGCTCTGTGTATGTGGAGTTGCATGGCACACTTGACAAGGATATTGCTGAGGTCACACTTGACAGAATTGCTGGGGTCAACCACAGGGTGGCAGAATGAACTGATCTGAAAACAGCCCTGTTTCAGGTTAATGTTATTTAATTATAGGCTTGGACACTTCACTCATGTGATTCTGGATGAAGCAGGGCAAGCAAGTGAACCGGAGAGCCTGATTCCTATTGGATTGATTTCAGAAGCTCATGGACAGGTAGTTCTCTTAACATCATTTACTGAAAGGAAAAAATTGGTTTATTGTTTTAATTCCTGTGAATAGTGTAGAATTCAAGCAGCCATTTTCTGGTAATGAGTATGAAATTCTGAGTGTTTTTAATAGATCTCATTCATGCACCATATCAATTCCCAACACTTAAACGAGTTGTTTTACATCTAAAATAAGTTTATGTTGGACTGGATCAGTGTGTGGAAGATGTCAAAATAAAAATATGTGTTCTTAGTTTACGACAATAACATACTACTGTCCTGGGGCTAACCCTTCTTTGCAAACAGATGTTGGAAGGAAAGCAGAATACTTGATATGAATTGATCTCTGAATTCTGAAATGTGTATGTCATTAAGAAAGGTATTTTCAATAACAACTGTTTTAATGTAAGATGGATTTTTTTAATTGCATTTACAGATAATTCTTGTTGGAGATCCAAAGCAGTTAGGGCCAACAATAAAATCTAAACTTGCGCTGACTTTTGGATTAAGTATGTCCTTGCTGGAAAGACTGACATCAAGAGAGCTATATCTGAGAGACGAGGATGCTTTTGGTGCCTGTGGAGCATATAATCCTTTATTGGTGAGTTAAACTTTCCATTAACATTTTTCAGCTGAATCAAAAAAGAAGAAATTGTGGCTCCTGCTGTTTTCTTACCACCATTTTGCTCCCTGATGCTTAGTGATAAGTTTAGCTTGAGCATTAGTTCATATAAAAGCTTGATTATTTTGCATATATACTATGAATAGTAAGGATGCTGAGCCCTCCAGCATGTTAAAAGCTTTCTTTGAAGGGGTCCTCTATTCTTAAGCAGAATAAGTCAAATAGGGTGCACAAAGCACAATTGTAAATAATAGCTTGAAATTTCTTTTCATCTCCATTGTCCACATTTACCATAACTTCATAACTTAATTTTCCACAGATGAACAAGTACAACTTCTGGTTTTAACATAAAAAGACAAACAAAGTCTCCTGTTTAAAGATTAATTTTGTAAACATCATGTTTCAGGAAGAGAAAAAGAGGAACTGTTCTTATTTCTTTATAATCTTTTCCTCTGTAGGATAGCTTCCACAAACTCTTGTATGGAGAAATACCTAAAGTTTGTGTTAAGTGGCAGAGGTAGCGTAGTGTATAAAAACAAGCACAGATGATCCAGCTGCTTTGAATTACTCTCTGAATCTGAAAGATAGGGCTAAAGTCAGACTTCCTAAGATGCATTCCTATTTTTATGGTAGCATACTTTGAAGACTTAAACTGAGAACAAAAGATGACTAGGTGACCATGTAAGTAGAGAAGGGAGGAAATCTGATGGCACACTTAAGAGGGGAAGTGAGAGGGTATGGTCTTAGGCTTTAGGTCAGTTCAGCCTGCTGAAAAAAGCTCATGCTTCCTCCTATAAACTGTTACAGCAGACTTGTTGTTGTGTTCCATATACAGTGTTTAAGGAGAATTGGCATAGTTAGAGAGCAGGAAGCGTGAGGGCTTTCAGGATACGTCGGGACTGAAATATCCTGTGTTATCCTTTTTACGAGACATTTTTTTTTCAAACTGCCTATTACTGTCTAGAATGTTTCCTTAAGACTAGTCTTTCATTTAAAGACTAATGCATTTGAGTGTCTTAAGGCCAGCTTCTGTCAGCTGTTCTGATGCTCCCTTTTTGCCTGTCAGGACTTCCTCACAATAACAGGTTACATCCATAGAAACTCCATGAAAATAATCAAACTCTTAAAAAAAGAGAGCCTATAGATCAAATGTTTTTAAAAAACAGAGAATGACCAATTCATCTATCATGTACATTCAGTTCTTTTTGTTTCTTCTTTGGAGAGGAAAGAGATGGTCCTTCAAAAAACTGCTTTGATCTAGCTTTTAGATCAACCAGCAGGTTTTGCCTTGAGTACAGTTCTTTGGCAGCTTTAGAAATGCTAAATGCTAGAAGATGGTAAGGTAGTATCTGCTTGGGAGCTGTGTTCTGAAAAGTCTGATGAATTACCTGTTTCAGTTTTGGATTTTGGGGTTTGACTTTGCAGATCACAAAACTCACGAAGAACTACAGGTCACATTCTGCATTGCTTGCCTTGCCATCTAAATTGTTTTATCATAAGGAACTAGAAGTTTGTGCAGACGCTTCAGTAGTAACTTCTTTGTTGAACTGGGGGAAATTGCCCAGGAAGGGATTTCCATTAATTTTTCATGGAATAAAGGTATGTAAAATGTTCATATAGTGAACTACATAGGCCTGATAGCAGTTTGCTGATGATGTGGAAGAGTTTTCTTTAGAATGAATTCTAGAAAGGATATGAAAAAAGAATAAACTGCCTTTTCTAAGTAATGTGACTTCCTGAGCATCTGGTTTTAGAAACAACTACTGAAGTCAGATATTTGCTAAGAACTTGAGCAGCTGCCTGTTGAGGTGTACTGTGGGACAGACATTTCGATACAAGTTCTAATTCATAGCAGATGACCAAGATGGAGTTACCGTCAGCTGCCTTGAGCTTACTTTTGATGGGAGTTTGCTACATTGAAATGGGTACAATCCTCTAAAACTAAAGGACTATTAAGGCTTAAGTGAGTAGGGGAAAAAATACTACCTTGGAAAAAAAGGTTTTCCTTAGTCTTCAAAGAAGTTAGTAAAAAGTGGTAATATCCCCTGCTTGGAGAGGCTTGGTTTTGAACTCTTCTACCTTGCACAAAAGCAAGATACCAACTTGCTAACACATGTTATTCTTTAGCTGAGATTTAACTCCTTTGGTGCACACCTAAAGTGCAGTTGTCATATCAATTCTCTTTATATATGTATAAAAAAATTATAAAACGTTAGGTGGTTCCATCATTGGAAAAGATGTGTTAGAAAGGAAGAGAAATTATGTATAACATTCCATCACTCTTTTGCATTCAGGATGTATAAGAATAATGGATTAATAAATACATAGTCATTTCTGCACCTGATCCCTGTCATCTCATTTCCTTTCCCCTAAAACAGGGCACTGAAACTCGTGAAGGTCACAGTCCTTCATGGTTTAACCCAGCTGAAGCAGTTCAAGTGATGCAGTACTGTTGCCACCTTGCTAAAAACGAAAATGCTGCAGTGTCAGTGACAGATATCGGAGTGATTACACCATATCGTAAACAGGTATAATGTTTAACAGGTCTAATATCTTAAGAGCTTCACAGTTGCTGTATTTCATCTTGTGGTTTTATATTGTGGCTGTTGTTTGTTAAAGCAGGGAGGCGTATCTCAACATTTCACAGCAGTGTGTCATGTTACACATTGTACTATCAATCATTAATGATGCTGCCATTGAAATAAAGAGCTAGAGAAAGCAATAATGTCATTGTACTGGTTTTTTAGTTTTAAAAATCAGGAAATTATTAAGGAGTCAGATTTGGAGACAGAAGCAGATTTTTCAGTTGTTAGAAGTAAAGACAGCACGTCAAGAATTTATAGTATCCAATAGCTGGAAGAGCAGTCTGGTTCTGTCACTTTCTGTACTGAGGACTGGAACAAAAGGGAAATGTAGTTAAGTAAGTGGCATGTCATCTTGTTATGACTTAGAAGAGACTAGAGAAATTGTGACTTCTTAGCTGACTTGTAGTCAGACTTGAAGGTTGTGCTGCTATTTAAACCTCTAGAGAATGCTAGAGAATGCTGAACATCAAATTCAAATGCTGTGCTTTATTTTTAAAAGTATTTATGTTCAGCTGTGTTAAGTATGTGTGATGTTTACTTTCATTTCTAAAATAAAATTAATACCCTTTCAGTTGCAGAGGAGGTCCTGGAGAGTGTACACATAGTTCTTCTTGGTGTTCACATCTCAGTATTCATAACCCTGTATGCATGGCTTGGGAGAAACATTGTGAGGTGTGAGGAAAAGACCAAGCCCTTGTGAAGAGATCTCACTTGCAAATTAAAGCTCTGCTTGTACTGATCTGACTGGTCAGGTGTCTGCACCTGCCCATGTTTACAGCTACTACTTGTTTTTCATATATGTGGTATTGAAGTGACTGAACCTCTTACACTCTCTAAATGATTTTCACATGATTTAATGTGACTGTGTCCGTCATCTGCCTGTGATGCAAGGCATATGATAGTAATGTCTGCTTCAAGAAAGTCAGTTTGTATTGTGGGAACACTGATTAGAAAATATTCTTCAACTCTAATCCTCATCTTAGCCAGGCATGATACCTTCTTAAATTTATTGGAGCACTTCAGGTATAATCTTCAAACAGCTTTTAGCAGACGGCAATATACTGATCCCACATGTTCCAGGATCCCAGTGCATGAGACTCTTTCTCCTTTTGGGAGGGAACTTAAGATCATATCTCACCTCTGTCTTTCACTCTGTATGATGCACCTGGCAAGCAAAGGTGGAATCTCTGTACAGTCTTCTTGAGGGGCTGGAGGAAGCTGCTTGCCCTACCACATCTGTGGTATGCATGGTTTTGGATATGATGCCCTCTGGAAGAAGAGAGTTTATAGAGCTAAATTATTCTTGTCCTGAAAATCTAGAATTATTAGAAATCTCTTGCTTTCTGTTTAAATTATGGTAGGAAGTACTTTATTACTTATTAGCTCTTATTACACAACTTTCTAAGTTGTTTAATCGACATTTCCATGTTAAAACACATACTTGTGTATGTGATGTGGTTTTGATGTGAAAGTAATCCACTCTCAAATGTAAAACTTAATTCCTTCAAGCACTTTTTTATTTTATGGTAGGTGGAAAAAATTAAATTTCTTCTCAGAAGTATTGATCTGGCAGACATTAAAGTTGGCACAGTAGAAGAGTTTCAAGGGCAGGAGTATACAGTTATCGTCTTATCAACAGTACGTATATTTATTGTGGTCCTATGGAGTGTTTTTACATGTATCTAATTCTCTACATTTCTTTTTAGATATAGGCCTTTAAAAAAATTACAGGCTGTATTTTTGTCAGTCTATCACAGTTTTGAAGATAGAGCTTATCTTTAGGTGCATGCTTGTAGAGTTATTCTTCTCCTTAAAATCTGGATTATTAAAAATCTGTTGCTTTCTGTTTAAATTATTGTACCGAGTACTTCACCTTTGTGGTTTGGGGGAAGAGTCTGTGGGATTTTCTCACCTTTTTTTTTTTTCCTGAGGGCTGTGGTACAGTGCTTTCTTTCTTTGTTCCACCTCATACCATAGCTTTTCAGTCCAGCACTGTATTCTTTTAAAGTAGTTGTGGGTATGTAGTGTGTTCTTACTTAGAACAACTCATTATTTAGGTCATGAAAATTTTCATTTTTCAAAGATAGGTTCAAATATAGACAAAATAGAGGTGAAAAACAACTGAGCAATAGTTACAGCACGCCTAATTGCTTTGACTGTTTTTTCTAAGCTAAGTCAAAGCACAATGAGACTGCTGAAGAAGGCTTCCAGAAAAGACACACTGTGAATTGTCATTCAACTGAGTGGATCATTGCAGTCAGGAAATATTAAGTTACACTATGGCTACATAAGTTGTGTTCTTGTTATTCTATTTCTAAAATTATCCTTAATTTATTTCAGGTGCGATCTCAGGAAGACTTAAGTGATGATGAAAAATACTGTTTGGGCTTTCTCTGTAACCCAAAGAGATTTAATGTAGCAATTACTAGAGCAAAAGCTTTGCTGATTGTCGTTGGAAATCCTCATGTTCTTGTGAAAGTAAGTTTTGGTCTTATATCTTTAAATTGCATGTGTAACTTGCCACTGTAATTGAATGGCTCTGTGTGTTAATCTGATGTGAGGGAGCATTGGAACATGTTAAGTTTGTACATTGTCCTCACTCTGCATTTGGGAATATATGAACACTGTGGGTTCCTGTAAGTATAGACAGTTCAGGTGCACAGTAGATTTCCAAGCACAAAGGAAATGGTACTCTGTGCATACAGGCTCATAGTCCTTATCATCTCTAGAAGAGGTCAGAGCATCAAATGCTGAAGTTCTGCAGCAGCCTTCAAGTCCAGTAAGCATGTTCTGAATAACCTCACACAGTCAGATTCTTCACAAAATGCAGTTGCTTCACTTTTTAAATAGAGGGTGGCAGAAGTGACTGTTCACAATTCGTGCAGCAGCTGCCAGGAAGGCAGTTTCTTTTGAACCCATTCATGCTTCTTTCATGGGAGTAAGCTGAGCTTTTCTTAATATCTGATGTTATGTCTGATTTTAAGAATAAGAAGGAAAGCAGTATTCCACAAATGGTTTGAATAGAAAGTTTAGTCCCCTACATGTACATGTAACATACGTAAATTTGATCAGCTTCCTCCCATGTTACACCATGTTTGCACCATTTGTAGAGTTCTGTTTCTTGAAGAGGTCGTGTTAAATCTCTTGCATTCATGTGCCATGTTAATTTGTTTGAAAATTCATTTCACATAGCAGTATGACTGCAATTATATATTAATGTTCTCTTGTAGGATCCCTGTTTTTGTGCACTGTTAGAATATAGTTTAATGAATAGAGTTTATGTAGGTTGTGACCTGCCCTCGGAGCTGGAATGCCTGCAGAAGTAAGTTCTGGTCTTCACTTTAACCTTACTAGATATGGATCATATTACAGTAATTTTAAAGCTAGTGTCACTTGAAAGATTGATCAGTACAACAATATGTGATATCATATTGCGATTGGATTTTGCATTCCTAAGTAAACATTGTATAAACATAATGACATGTAATGTAACCATATTTTCTCTGACCCCATAAGAAGAGTCTGAGCATTAATTATTAAATAACAGCTGCTGTTGATTTTGGTATCTTATGTATCCCCAAATGATGATGACGTATTTGATGACCATAAAGGGGGGGTGTGGACAGGGGAACTGTTTTAAGGTGATTTCAGTGTAACTAAAAAAGAAAATTGTTTGAAATTTAATTTAAATATGTCCCTTCTTATAACATGTAATACTGTGTTAAATGGGTATTATGTACTAGATGATACTACTTTTTTTTTTAAATCAAAACTGTTGTTTATGGAAAGGTAAGCAAGATTTTTATCTTACCCCTCTTAATTTACAGGTATGACTAGTTTTTCAGTGTTCAAGATGCATTCAGTCTTCATCTGTTTTGAAACTAAGCATACTTAACAGAAATTTAGCCCTGAACAAGTCAAGCACTTTTTGTCCTTAGGGAGAGGCACACATTCTGAAATGGATGAAAGTTTCTGCAAACAAGATTTTTTTTTCTTAAGAAGTGAGAAGGTTGAAATTAACAGTATAGTAGTAGCAACTTACTTGCTCTTCTGTTTAAAATGTACATGACTCGGCCTCTGCAAAGAAGAATAGGCCTGAATCTATAACCATATGCCTGAATCCTCCAGGTTTCAGAAGAAAAATATTGAAGAACTCTGACATCAGCTTTTCCTTATTCTATAATTGTTTCAGCTTCTCAATTTTCTCTGACTTGTGTAGTGCCACCTAAAACTGGACTGTCCCAAGAACACATATGTGTCGTGTCATAGTCATGGGAGTGTACAGTAATATATCTACAGTGTGAACTGGGATGATACTTTAACATCTCCACTCAACTGATGTTGAATACCTTAAGCCAAGCATGCTTAAAAACTCTACTTCCAGTTTTTAAGGCCTTTGTTTGGTTTCCACTGCAGTCCAACCGTGTGCTGTGGTGTATGTCAGAACAATGCCTTAAGGGTTGGGTTAAAATTTAAAAAAAAAAAAAGAAAAATAGAAAATGTGTTTTCCTCTCTATAAATACACTGTAGAATAAAGTACCTTGTTTTATTTTGGCAAAATTAAGTAACTGATGGTTTAGCAGTATTCCTGCTTTTGGCTTCATTTTGCTTTCCCATTAAACAGCATTTTCCTCTATTCCTTGTTCTCTCCTTGGTGATTTAAGTCCTACCACACAGCACTTTAGGAATAGTTGGACAACTAGACACTGTTTATAAACTCTCTGCACAACAAGATGGCTTTCTGTAACAGGCAGAAGCATTATATAGGACTATAGGCTACAGAGAAACAAATTGGGGGGGGGAGATACCAGGCTTTTGTTTGCTTGTTTACAGTCCACTCATATCACTTCCATTCCTGGTGTGCACTGTACTTCTTTCCTTTGCAATGCACAGTGTGTATATCCTGCAGCTTCCAGGATGGCAAGTGTGGTAAAACATCAAAGGCAGGCACAACATAAAGGTAGGTTCACTGTACCATGGCAGGGTGGAGTGCCTGGAACTACCTCTCACCCAGACTATACTGTGTGCGTGTCCAGGGTGAGTCACAGCTGCATTTGAGCAGCACTATTTTGAGCAGACTATCTGAGCACATCTAGAGCAGACTGTTTAGCCCAGTCTCTTTGTCATGATATTATGCTGCTTGAATTGCTTTCACTCGTGACAGGCCAGGATAGATGGTGTGTGTTGTTGCAGTATGGTGCTGAAAATACCAGCACTGATGATGACATGCCAGATATTCTACATCCAACTCAAAACTTTGTTATGTCTTAACTGTCTTAGTTGTTGCCTACTGAAAGACCTCTTGCTTCAGGATTGTGTTATGACATACCATATCTCATGAACAACTGCTGCCGACCTTGGGTTTTTGGTATTCTAGTCATTTCTTTCATGAAGACAGGGCCTGATGAGCTGGAATGAAGAAAAGGGGATAAAACAGTGCTCATTGTTGGCTAGAGTCATAGAATATCCTGAATTGGAAAGGCTTGGTGCTGTGACCACTTCCCGGGGGAACCTGTTCTAGTGACTAACCACCCTCTGGATTAAGAAGCTGAAATTGTCTTCCGTTTTTCTTATGACAGAAATGTACATAAATGTCTTTTGGGGTATGCAAAAAAAGAGAATCAGCCACTGCATACAAAAGAAGCAATGACAGAGTCACTTTAGATTCAGTCTCTTTCTTTTATAGACAGTTGAATTAAGCCTTACTTTGCATGAAAACCACGTTCCTGATATTGAATTCTGGTTACAGGAATAGTCTCTTCCCTCAGAATAAGAAAAAAAAAAAAAAACCACTCTGTCCTGGCTGTTTCTGATTTATTAATTCCTTGCCTTACAAGAAATTACAAAAGCCAGAGAGGAGGCTGCACCACATCTCCAGGAGCACATCAGAGGTACATCAAGTCAGAGAACACTGGAATGCTCTTACAAATTTCCTTACCTGCTTCCCTCCAAATATTGTATTAGACATTGTGAGCTCAAGAAAAACAATAGACTGAGAAAGAGGTAGTCTGTGAAGCAGATGATTCCTGAGTCATTTGACATGCGCCAGTTAAGAGTTGAAATTTAAAAAATACCTCTGAAAGACAGTCAGAAAACATCAGAGGTTTCCTTGCCAGAATCTAAGCATGTAGTACTCAGCTGCACACTGAACAGGTTCTTGTTCCACAATATGCTTAAGCAGTAGCAAATGTCTCAGAAGTACATTCTGTGTTGTAGCGGTCTCAGCAGTCCCAACATCTGAATTCTGTACCACGGCACCAAGAGTGCCCTTAATAAATAGTATTTCTTTTTGAAACAAGTACCTTAACTAGCAGGTGGCTGCATTGAGATCACAAAAAGAAAAGGTATGTACTTCTAATAGTATTTTTGAATGTAAAAGCTTTATTAGAGTGGCATTCCCTCATATTGTTTATTATAGTATTCCACTGACTATTTTTAAATATTTTTAAGTTTCCCTTAATTGCTGTTGTTCATCTGTCTCTGCTGGTGCTGTGTAGGTCAGGTCACACTGAATCACTGGTGATGAAAGAGTTACTGGGCAAATACTTTTAATGTGTCATTTGTTATTACTGTTAGTTCCCCATCTTTTTCATAACAGCTGTTTATACTGTGCTCTGTCTAGTGAAAGTTACCTTCCTATCAACTGCAAAGCAACACTTTGAATATCAAACTGTGGGCCTCTGACATGAATCTAATTATTCAAGTCATACCAGCTCTGTAGTCCAAGGCAGATGCATGGCTGGGTGCTCAGTGCCATGTTGATCAGGCTTCAGAGATAGGCTGTGTGTACTTTTCCAGATAATGCAGGGTGAAAACCCTGTTAATTCTTCCTGTCTTTCCTCCTCCTGTAAAGTGGTCAGTCTACACCTGAAGTGGAAAAAAATGGAGGCTGTAGCTACAACCTGTATTCAGTATCTTGTGTGATCATATCTTTTCCATAGAGCACGTTATCCTGGTAAGGACATTATATCAGTGGGGCAAGAAAGAAAATTCAAAGTATGCAGGCAACTGCACCCACTATTTACTGTCTTTTGCAGCCTTGATTTAACAATGTTATGGAAGTTTAATAGACTTCTTTCCTTTAAATAAAATAGCTTCAAGGTGTCAGGTATTGTGGTGCACATTTTGGAGCTCAGGTACCAGAATAATGAGCATTCTAAATCTTAATAATAAACAGACTATTTTAAAAGCAAAATTGGTTTTTTGCAACTACCAAAAGAGAACATTCTTTCACAGATTCTGAAACAATTCATCTCAGTTTTACTAAACTTGTTAAAATGTAGGTACTTTGATTATTTAATTGGCTTTTTTTTTTCTAATAGTAATAATAAGGAAAATGTGCTAGGCTGTGAGGAAGGCTGTTCTGCCAGCATGCAGTGACGAGTTGTGGTGATACATCCTTGGGGCAGTATGATTTCAGGAATTCCTGTTAAGCCTTAGCCTTTGTGTAATGAGTTGGGTGATGAAGTGTCCCTTGACCATACCAGAAACCCTTGCAGAGCTAAGGTGAGGGTGGCACTGTCCATACCAGGAACTTCTGTTGTCTGACCAGGGAGAGGAACAAGAGATAACCAGTCATCCCCTGAAAGCCTTGGAACATTCTTTACCTTAATTGGAGCCTGAGTGAAACAGCACCATTGTTACTGGACTTTTGAAAAATTCCAGTAATTACTGTTTTGGATTATGGCCAGGATGGAAATTGACTGATTTCTAAAGCAAATTCTCTCCCAATGGGAAGGTCTCTCTTGCCTCTTCAGTCTCTCTGTAAATTGTTCTGGCTCAATTCTAACTTGATTTTCTTCTTACATGTTACATCCCTGTAGTAAGTAGTATAGTGAACCTTGCCATTGAACTCAGTCACACTTCCACAAATTTGTACTAAACATACTTCTGCTAATACCTTTGACAGTGATTTTTTTAAGCAATCTAAACTTCTCATCTGGGACAAATTGATGTAGTTGGCAGGATCCTAAATCAGGATCTGTGAAAAGAGTGGGAGTGTAAAATAATCCTTTTAAACTGTTTAAATTTCCGTACAGCTTTGAGTGTTGTTATGTCTCAGTATCTCTTTAAAGATATTCCAGTATTGGTTCCTTGAAAATTGCTTTATGAGAGCGAAAGGAAACACTTCCACTGCAGCGCCTCTCAGAAGTACAGTAGGTGAGAAGGTGATGTGCTATAGAAAGAAGTCAAACTGCAGACCATGGAATGAAGAACTGTATGTAAACAAAGGAAAAAGTGCTATTGAAGTGCAAAATCTGAAAAAGCCTTGGAATGTGCCCAAAAGGCACAAATGAATAGTTCTAGTCTAAAACTAATAGTTCTTTTAAGGAATACTAATGTCAAGGAAGTAAAAATTAGGAATCAAAAGAGATTATAGGTAATGAAATACAGCATTGGGAAAATGGGGAAACAGTTGGGGAGGGGGGCATGTAAACAAACAAACTAAAACCTCTTTCCAGAGTTAGTTTTCTGATCTTTACTTGTTTCTCTTCAGTACTCTTCATATATGGCTTCTCCTCTTACCATATATGGATGGTGCAACTTGTGTGGAAGTGCCAGAACTGAACAGTAGATTCCTCTCTTGCCATCTGGTGTGTACACAGCTGGCGATGTAAATGCCTGAGAGTTTTGCTTGGTCTAGATTGTCTAGGCTACCTCTAGCTGAAAGAGAGAAGTGGATCCTGAAGGTGGTTTACTTCATCCTAAAAATGTGTCTACAATATGTGAATGAATCCATGAAGGTGCCTTTCTCCCCCTGACTGGAGAGGGAGCCTGGAAACTTGAGGCAGGCCAGGTTCTGGTAACCAAGGCCAGGTGCGGGGAAACCTGCCTTAGCTGCCTGCATTATCTTTTACTAGAAACACAGGTCTTACCTGTGGGTTAGTGAATAGCAATGTAGGTAAGAGGGGATATGACAGCGTTTGGAAAAACGATAGAACTGCAATTTTTTTTTTTTCTCTTGCAGAGGAAGTAAAAGTTGCTGACGTAGAGGTTAAACTGGTTTACATATGTGAAATACAGAATTACATATCTGGAATACAGTAGCACAAAATTAAATGCTTCACAGTGATCACTAGCTACTAAAAAGCTGCATTAGTGGAAGAATAATTCTGAGTCAATGGCAGAGCTCACTACATCTCAATGTGAGGAGTGTTAACTTGAGACATTACATGCAATTGATATCAGACTGGTTTGAATAACAACAGTGGTCTCATGGAGAATAAAATAAGGCCTATGTAAGTACAGTCTTACTGGGTTTGCGAATAAATTTAAGTTCACAAAGTTTACCAAAGACCTGGGTTTATTGATAAATGGGGAGAGTTGTTCATTATGACAGGACTCCTCAGATAACAACACCCACACTGCAAGTCCAGGAGACTTGCATGAATTATCCTAGATCACTTTAAAATTAATGAACAGCTAGAAGTGTTTATGATGCAGAATAACATGGGAGTTCAGCAGCTCTTCAAATGCATACTCTTTCTAATGGGAAGTAACATTCATATGTAGACAAGTCCTGGACAAAACTTGGGGCCTTTTGCTTTC